AAATATAGAAAACTTAAAAGAGTAAAAGTTATGAAAAGTAATATATGTACTTTATACTGCCACAAGCTTCTTTGGGCATGGTATACAAGCTGGCTCCTCTACCTTCTACCCATGGTGTCCTACTGTGACAAGTGATGGAAGGCCTGTCTGAGGCCCCTGAGGGGTAAGGAATATGGGTGGTGGTAGTAGTAGATGGCTGTAGTAAAAAGGTGAGATACTGTAGTTTAAAGGACCCCTAAAAGGCACCCAGGACACTTTATCTCAATTAAGTGGTACCGTGGCCCTGTCATTTTAACCCTTCAATGTAAAATATAGCCATTGTGTAGAAACAATGCTTACATTAACCCCTTAAGGACCAAACTTCTGGAATAAAAGGGAATCATGACATGTCACACATGTCATGTGTCCTTAAGGGGTTAAAAGCGTTAAATACAAATCTAGTGGCTGTTTTCCTGACAGTCACTAGAGGTGCTTCCCCCTCCAGAACTGAGTCAAACTAGGCTCTTCACAGGAGGGGGAAGCTATAGTGCCAGAAAAACAAGTTTGTATTCCTGGGACTATAGTTTCTCTTTAAAGTAAAGGGTCACAATAGTGCAGGGCTCAACGAATCGTAGAATTTTGCACCTGGTGTCCGTTTGTCAGCCTGTTTGGAGTCGGGCAGCCATGAGAGCAGTAATCTTCCTGCAGTTCTTGCTCTGCTCCCTGAGATGCTAGGAGCCGGGATATGACATCACTCCAGCCCCAGCATCCCTAACTAGTGTGCGACTGAGCAGATCTTGAAGATTTCCGTAGCCAAACTGGACCTCATGGTAAGGATCCCCACTGGACCCAGGGAAAAAGCTTCACTCCAACTCCCCAAAGGTTTGAAGGCTGGGTGGACAAACCTAAAAAAAGTTTATCTGTGTGTATGTCTATTTTGGTTACTAGTCCCCTTTAGATCGCAAGGAAAGGTCTTTTTTACCGTGCCAGTAATCAATCTTTATGATCTCAGACAATTTCCCACAGAAAAGCATTGAGGGGCTATTACGCATGCACGGCAAAAAGCTACGCTGTGCAAAGCAACATCTCCTCATAGAGCTGCATTGAATCAATGCATCTCTATGGAGAACATTCAGCGGCTCCATGCAGAGCATAGACACACTGAATGTAGGTGCAGCACACTGTGCAGTATTGGACTAGGAATCACCTCTAGTTGCCGTCTGAGTGAATCACTAGCTGTGTTCCAAGGCAGAAAAGTAAATGCTGCCTTTTCTCTGAAAAGGCAGCCCTTACATTAAAAAGCTTGCAGGGACATACTATACACACCAGAACAACTACATTAAGCTTTAGTTGTTCTAGTAACTATAGTGTCCTTTAAAGGGCTTTTCCATTTTACAAAACGTGCAGATTTCAATTAAAATTGGCATTTCTATAAATTAACCTAGTTACACCCCCTGGCTGGCAGTCATACAACAGATCCTGTTACTTCCTGGTGATTAGCTCAGTGGAGCTAAACTAAACTAAAGAGGCAGCAATTGCTCAGAGCACCTACCTTGCAATGGCTTCTCATTGTTCTACATTGGGAAGTCTGTAATTAACCAACCACAGAAGTCTGGGTGGGGTAAGAAGTAGACGGTTTGCAAAGGCTTTAAATAATAGATCTGCAGATTTTGCAAACTGTTCTAAGATATACACTCAATAGAAAAATTAAAATGCATGTATTTTTTAATTGGTGTATATAAACTTAACAGTGATTGCCACCCCTGTTCCCCCCATTTATTTTGACAGTCGATTGTCCCTTTAATCACCACTCCCCCAATTCAAAATTTATGAAAATAAAAGCTTTATAAAATTCACATTGATTGTGTTGTAGGGAAAAAGACATTATATGTAGCATCCTGAGGTCTTGCGGGTAATTCCATGTGCAAGAGTACCAGAATTGAAGTGGGCTCATGGCAGATGAAGTGCCAGGAGCTGAAAAGGAGAAGCAAACCATAGGCGCATCCGCGAGTGACAGATTCAGGTAAGTAAAACACAACTTCCCCTGCACCCATGTACACCGGACTCCCAGTAGAACAGTCACCATCAAATGGACTTTGCAAAACATAAAAAATATGTAAAGACCCCAGGTAGTGGCAAAGCAGCTTTGAACTTTTCAAACGCCAGAGATCACAGCAAAAGAAGAAAATGTATTGTCCCATAATAATGATTATTTTGGGGACTATAGATTTCCTTTAAAACAGAGAGGAGGATGCAAAACTAACGAAGTTATACCGTTGCCTCCTGGGCTTTGGCAATAAAAATGTTAACTATGAAATCCAATGCCAAATGAGAGCATGGACAGTTGCAGTACTAAATGTTTCAACAAGATAAAGATAATTTGTTTCACCGTGTAAACATGCTTTCTGCCTTCTTGTTTGGCTCACACATCCTTTCCAGCCCTGCCTTAAGGCGGTGGTGCAATAGCTGGGAAATATCAGGTCAAAATGATGGTAGCCAATCAGTAGCTGCCATGTCTATTTACACTAGGCTGTAGCCCACACCAGCACCTCTCCCACAGTCACATGCTGCACTTTTCTAGGGAATACGATGATTGCTATTCCCAGCTATCTTCAGGATAGCTGTAGTCATTTTCCAGGGAAATCCCAGACTGGGAGGGTCCAACCAAGCAAGTCATGTGAACCAGTATGACATTGTACAGGAAAATGATGTGTGTGATTTAATCGGTAGCAGTTTTAAAAGGAAAATTATTTTCAGCACAAACTGTATTCAAGCTCATTACAGACAGACACTTTGCAGGGTCCTTTCACTATCCCTTTTGAAGCGACTGTCACTTCTCAGTACTTCATAAAGATATAACCTTTAGGTAGATCTGCAGTAAGAGGATGGTGGCAGCCACAAAAGACAGCTTCAGTTCAATAAAGCTACATTCCATTGCACCCCTATGGCCACAGGATCCTAACTAGAGATTTCCCCATTGGTAAAAGTGATAAGAAAGGGAAAAGGTGTCTTAAAGCTTACCTATCGAGATCAGTAGCTGTTGCAATATTACACAAATGAAAATAGAGTTCATCCTTAAAGCCCACACTGATAACCCATTAAAAAATAACAATTTGATCCCCACTGACGCCATGCCAGTATGTAATGCCCGACTTATTTTGCATCTGCAACTTTACAAAGCATTTGTTAAATAAGCGGCACATTCAGTTTTGATATACAGTCTTTATAGAATGGATTGTTATGACATTGTTACATTGTTGATACCTAAAGAGTTAAACAAACTAAAATATACAAAGAACCCCCCCAACAGATCTACAGAACCATTATATTTTGTCACTACATTAAAGGAACACTACACTATCAGGAATACAAAAAACTGTATTCCTAGCAATATATAGTGTCTCTCTGCTCTAAAGTTTACTGACCCCCACTTACCTGATTCCAGGGCCAATGTCCATCTGCACTGGCTGTCTGCGAGGGGGCTAATGAGCATGCGCAGCAAGAAATGTGCACGCATTAGGTCTTCCCTGTAGGAAAGCATTAAATCAATGCTTTCTTATGGGGGATTTGAAGACGATGGATGTCCTCATGCAGTGCGCGAGGACGCCCAGCATCATTTCATGTTGTTAAACTCTGTGACAGACTAGGAAGTTCCTCCAGTGGATGTCTAGAAGACAGGGACACTCTACCCAGGCAACTTAAATGAGATAAAGTGATCTTGGTGCCTAGTGTCCCTTTAAATTCCATGTGACTTAGAGTATGCAAACACACCGGTATATTACGTAATTATGTCCATCTTTTCTTTGGTTAGTAATAACTATGCTGCAAACTGCAACTTCTCCATCCCATTGACTAATAAATTCTACTAATTTCACTTTCAAAAGACTACCAAGGGTAAAAATGAAACAGATGCTTGTTACTAAATTCAAAACAATACGAATATTGTTTTGTTGTTTAAATTACCATTCCAGTGGATCAAGAAGTAACTCACACATAAGCATAAATAAAATGTCAGTTTTTGCATCGCAATATCAATTACAAGAAAAAGATAGCATTTAGGAAGTTACTGAATAAATCATAGGCAACTCAAAATCTGCAGCTACACTCCAATTGCTTAATTTCACTGTGGTGTCTTTTATTATTATTATTGCTGGTATAATTACTGGTTTACTGTATAGATCAGGGCTGTCCAACCTTAGGTAATCCAAGGGCAGTATTAAATAAGATTTATCAAACTGCCACATGAAAAGTTATAAATTCGTTATATACTACCTTACTGTATCATAACTGAGTAGTTATTAAGTCTGCTTATAATGGTTTAGCAAGTATACAAGATAAACGCTATTTAGTAAAGAGGAATTGGCATCCCATGTAAAAATTGTGATAGATTAGACAGATATTAGGTTTTTGGATGTCATTATCCAATCATTCAAGCAAACCACATACAACAGAGATTGTTAATATCCTTTAACACCCAATTTACTCGCCTACCATAACTTTGGAGTGACATGCTGTTGTTCCCTTTCAGCTTTGATGAAGGTAACATGTCCATAAAGCGTGTCCTTGCGATATTTTGACCCCACTAAACAATGGGTGCAATATTACACTTTAATACATTACTATGCCATGACACCTTGTTTCAGCTCTATACAATAAAATAGAACAAAAAAAGCCCCTCACTGCATTATATATAGAAATATTAAGAAAGACTTACAAGTTCATCCACCATCACAACTAAGCAATGTGCCGTAAACAAATATCTATTAGCCAAACTACCTCTCCTCATCTTCCCCTACCAGGAATCGAACCCGGGCTGCCTGAGTGAAAGCCTGGAACGCTAACCGCTACACCATAGAGAGACCCATGGAGAGAAACGATCAGCTAGGCAGGCAGCCCGCGCCAGGGCACCCGCTGTCACCTGACGTCACTCGTGACCGTTACCAGCCAGCGCTGGGAGCCCTCAGTGACAGGGGGTCGGTCACGTGACCTCACACTGTACGTACACAGAGCGGGGGTGGGGGGGGGACCCCGAGAGTTAGGCTTCCCTCTCCAACTTCTGTAAACATTCTCCCACTAATGACACTCAGTAACCTGGAGCGAAACACGCTAAAGCGGAGACTCCGAGTATTAGAATATATAAACACCACTCACCTCCTGAGTGCGCGCCCCGGGCGGCCTGCTCTGCCCTGCCCGGGCTCAGACGGACACTAGGTAACTCCGCTGGACGCGTTATCTCTCCAACCAACTCTCCTGCCAAGTTTACTCCCTCCACCCACCAACCCCGCATCACTGGGCAGGGGAGGCGGCTGCAATAAACAAACGTGGAATGGCCCCGCGCGGCCGCCGTACGGAGCGCTGCGATCGCGAGCTTGTCTTGCTGTGAAGATTGGCCCTGCGCGGCCGCCGTACGGTGAGATGAGCACTCACTAGTTGTTTTGCTGAGAAATGTTCCTGCTCGGTTTCCGTACACATGTGATATGAGAGTATTAGGGACTAAGTGTAATCTGCCTGCACAGTTTTATCTACAGTAGAACAGGCATCGTAATACGAGCTCCTCCCCGTCTCTATCACTCAGCTACACAGTGCACGGTGCGGCCACAGGGGATTATGCAGCCAGGGTGGCGGACTCGGTGATTGCTGGTCAGTTCTGTTTATCATATTACACAATACAGCTATTTACAACAAGCAGAAGGCAGGGGGACCATAGACAACCAATAGGATTGGTGATCATATGGTGCGTACATGGATAGTTAGGGCTGGCTAAAACCTGTGATCACTGAGCAGAGTAACAAACCAGGAAACATAGTGTCTAGCAAGGGATGAGGAAATGTGTGGGGTTTACATTGGCCATGGAGGGAGCTTGGAAGAGATGGACCCAGTATAGACTAACTAGATGCCTCTAGTTTTGGAATATATTAATCATTTTGTTTTCTTTCTTGCAGAACCAATACACAACACCAGTAAGCCGACATGTAAGTATATTTGTCTGTTAATGCTAGTGGCTCAAACACAATACTTTTGCTAAGCCTTATGAGGGTAAGACAGTTCGTCTGAGCAGGGTCCTTATCTACCAGTTGTTCCTGTAACTTTTTTATAATGGTCTCATTTATTAAATTCCCTCCACCCCCTCCGTAATATTGTAAAGTGCTGCGAAATACGTTGATGCTATATAAATACCAATAATACTAAGTTGGGTGGAGAGAAGAACTTTAGAGTAACCGTACTGTTTGAGAACATTTTAAGTTAGTGTCCTCAAAAAGGCATGGTATTCACATTCAGTTTTCAAGCTTGAGGGTTTTGTTTGTTTGTTTTTTGTTTTGTATTTTTTAAATTATTGACAATTTGCTAATTTTTGTCTTTACAGGGCTGATTACTGGAAATCACAGCCAAAGAAGTTTTGTACTTACTGCAAGTGTTGGATTGCAGACAACAAGCCTGTAAGATAATCCTAAGTGAGACATACTTCATCATAGTTGATGCTTAGAATAATGCAGGCTCCATGCATCATCATTTAATAGGAATAATAAATGAATCAAATAATAATAGCATGTCATGTTTTTTTCACAATTTGTTTCTTGCAACAAAGTAATAGAATGTAAGTTGTTTCTTTTTCCTATAAACTGCTTGTTCTTGATTATGCATTATTTTACATAATTATATAGGCTGAAAATAAAGACTTGTGTCCATCAAATTCAGCCTCTCATCTATTTTTGCTGTTGATACAAAAGAAGGCAAAAGGATAAGTTTAAAGCACTTTGTTAGAACGCACAACGAAAAAAAGTCCTTCTCAAACATAGAATGATGAGTAAGCTGTTAGCCCACATATTGAAACTTATATACCTGAATATTATGTTTTTGCAATAATTGATCCAGTTGCTGTTTAAACATCTGTACAGGCTCTGATAAAATTACCTATTCAGATCCACATACTTGTTACCCTTACTGTAAAGAAACCTTTTCCTTTTGGCAATGGTTTGTATTGGTTTAGAATATATTTGTATAATGCTATCCTATCCCTTCTGGGGCTCCATTTTTCTAAACTAGATTTACATTTGTTAGCCTTTCTTCATGACTTAAATCTTTCATATCACGGTTTAATTTAGTAGCCCGTCTCAGCACTTTTTTTTGTGCAATAATATCCTTCTTTAGAACAGGTAACCAATATTACATGGCATATTCTAGGTGTGGTATTACCATCGATTTAAAAAGAGGCAAATTTATATTTTCATCCTAAGAATTAATGCCCCTTCTTATGCATGACAATACTTTACTGGCCTTAGCAACTGCTGATTGACATTGCACATTCTTGCTTATTTTCCTGTCTAGAACCATTCTCAAACCCTTCTCATGTGTTATCACTAATTCATTTTACTGTTTTTATTGTAGAGTGTTGAGTTTCATGAAAGGGGTAAAAATCACAAAGAAAATGTCACGAAAAAAATCAGCGAGGTACAGTATTGTAATATACATTAGTTGCTAGAAGACCTTGTACTTTTTTCTTATACACACTGTTCCATTGTTGAAATGACATTGTAGCGACCAACAGACAGATACTTAAGCTGATATTTATATTTAAATGGACACTCTGAAACTCTAAAGCACTTTAACTTGCTGAAATGCTTTATCCGTGAAGTGTGTGTCTTATTTTCATTCTACAAAAAACACAGATTTCAAAAGAGTGGCATTTTGACAAATTAATATTGTTGCACTCCCATGGCTTTGAAGCAGACAACCGGTCCTGTTGCTTCCTGGTTTGTTTAGCTCAATTGCCCAGAGTACCTGCCTTGCAGAGACTTCTCAATGAGCTGCATTGGGAAGTCTTTGATTGGGCAGCCACAGAAAGTCTGGGCTGGGGAAGATAGGGGAGGGTTTGAATAGGCAGCAATCAAGAGATCTGCCACTTTGCAACCTGTTTTTAGCTATACCCCAATAAGAAAATGCATAATTATATGCATGCATGTTTTCGTTGGAGGTATATTTACTAAACAGTAATTTGTTTTTGGAGAATGGGGTATTTGGGCAGTGGAGTGTCCCTTCAAGGGTTTTATTATGAGCTCTAGAGCATGCTCATGTTATGGTTTTGCTTACATATTTTTGTTTTGTTTTTTAAAACTGTGTACTATTCTTTAAAAATCTAATCTTAAAATCCTTACTAGAATTTCTTGTTTTTTTTTTTCTTTAATATTGTGGCCAGACTTTTGTATAGTTTTGAAATGTATGAATTTGATGATTTATAACTTGATTGCAGATTAAGCAAAGAAGTATGGACAAGGCAAAACAAGATGCTAAAATGTCGAAAGAATTTGCAGCAATGGAAGAAGCTGCTCTAAAGGCCTATGAGGAAGACCTTAAAAGGCTGGAAGGTACTGCACCAGGTAAGATGGTAGTGACCGCTAACCTTTTTGTTCTTCAACTGTACTGACCATATTACCCATTGTGCGCAAACACACATTTTATTCACAGCAAGTAGGGTTCTAAAGATTTTTATCCATTTCCTAGTAATCACAGAAATGATTTTATGCTACATTTCTGTCCTTAGTTCATAGTAAAATCTTCACCAGGTAAAGATGACGTTTACATCTTAAAACAAGTGTTTGCACAAAACGTTTTAGTCTTTTTCCTAATTATTCTTCCTTAAAACGCCAGTGAATGTACCTAAATATTTGATGTTGTATGTGTAATTTGTGTATGTGTATTTTTATCCCTAGTATGCATTACTTTGCATCATATTTATGCTATCTGGTGCTCTTCTCATACTGCAAAATAAGAAAATAACTATTTCTGACTCTGCACTTATCTTCTAAAGCTAAGATGGTATTTTATATTTCCTAATTATTTTCCTTAGGAAATTTTGCAAATGTTAATCATTTTCATAGTTGAGGGTTGCAGACATTATATGATTTGGGGAAATCTGTACAAAAATAATGGCCTGTGAGACTTTACTCTACAATTTGTAGAGAATTTAAAAAAAGTAGCTTGAAACCTTTTAAATGTGATTCCAAATGAATACAATGAAATGTAATATACAGTTGACTTTTTACATTCCAACTGCAATATATCTGAAGTAAAGTATTTTATTACATTGACTGCCATTGGGGAGATGCTGTGACAATTGTAGATCTTACTAATTATTCCATGCAAGTAAAGCAGATGATAATTGCATTGTACAGAATTTTTAAATCTTTTTTTATTGTAGGCACTTAATGTTTTAGACCCCCTCCCTAAATTTTTTTTTAATATTCTCAGCTCCTGCACCTCACAGTGTTCAGCACAATAAGTCACGCGATGAGGAAAAGTGGAAGGAAATTGAAGCGCTAGAAAAACATCATGCAAAAAGACAGTGGACAAAAGGCGTTTCTCCAGAGGGATACCCCTATTACTATAATCTATTAACAGGAGGTATTGCATGAAATAATTTTGCTTTACACAGGTGCACTTGTAACTACTCAAATGCAAAATGCGTTTATAATAATTTAAAATTGCTGTTAAGACCTTGTTTTTCTTGCTATTTTACATCTGCACAACTGTTCGTTTGCCCAAATATCTTCTTTTGGGGGGGTTCATCACTGAGGTTTATTTTTGTGTGTATGGGGTTTACAGAGGGGGTGTGTTGTTGTTTTTTTTTGTTTGTTTGTTTTTTTTTCAGTATGATATGATATTCAGAAATATATGTATAACATTCTATTAAATATATTCCTGCGATATATGTGGGAAAAATTTCCATAACTTCCATTGTTTAGTAACATCCCCTGGATGTTGGGCAAATGTAGCATCCCCTGGTTACCGGTAAATAATTTATTATTATTATTTTCAGAATCTCGGTGGGAAGAACCTGAAGGATTTCAAGAAAAAAGTAATACTTCCAAAAATGTAGGTTGGCTGTCTAGAAATGACTGCATAATTGTTATATAGCATTATATATATGATTGTCATATAACAAACCTAATTCACAGTTAAATATGTCCCTACATTTCCTTTCTTAAAAACTGAGTATAGAGAATTATGCTGATTGCTGAAAAGCTAATTTCACATTGTCTGAAACTAGAGCACATTACTAGTAATCCAACCCTTTCCACATCATTGCTATTCTATTGACCAAATGTGTAAAGTAATGTAAGCTCTGACATGCTTGCAAATGATGCCATTACAAATGGTGTGAAGGCAGTTCACTCCAAAACCCTGTGATCATGTGCTCTAGAATTTCATTTATACAATTTATACAGTGTGACCGTATCATTTTGAGGAAAATATTATTTAAAAAAATAAGACTAGTTCAGCATTTTTGAATTTACAGAAAAGTAGAGCATGTAATTCCCTCTACTGATTAGGATTTCCTGTCTCTATGGTGTTTTACCCATGAGAGTTCTACTTTAATTATTTTGTGCTGCTCTGTGTTTCTTGGTTTACAGTATGACCACAGCTTTTTTTTTTTTTAAGACCACAACCAGTACTACTTGGGTAGAAGGAGTCTCTGAAGAAGGTTACACATATTACTATAACACTGAAACAGGAGGTAAAATGCTTTTTTTAATTTTGTACTTCCTACAACTTTGTTGGTCTATATTTTTCTTTCTGAACCATTAGTAAAGATGTTTTATTTTACTGATCAGAATCCAGATGGGAAAAGCCAGAAGAAATGCACCCTGTGGTACCAAGCAAAGATACTGCAGAAGAAGGTGAAGCCACCAAAGAGGACACAGAAGCAGAAGTGGTGGAAACTGATTCTACTCCAGAAACCCCAGCAGAAGATGCACCTAATACACAAAAACCTAAAATAAATTTTAGGGTGAGAGATGTCCTTCTAATAACATATGAAGGCAAACTGTTTTAAGTTGTATAACACAAGGGAAAAGTTTTTAAAAACCTTTTAATGAAATTTTTTTTTTTTTTTTGGCTGTGGGTTCTGCGGATTTTCTTTTACAATGGTAGATCTATATACATAGGCGTGCGCACGGGGTGTGCCGGGTGTGCCTGGGCACACCCTAATCCCCGTGGCACGCCTATGGTTTGAGTCCTGCAGGAACAGCGTTCCTGCAGGCACTCAGTGCCCCCTGTTTCACCTCTTGCCCCTGTCATGGGGAGGGCAAGAGGTGATGGATTTCCCCCCCACTCAGCGCGCGGCGAGGGAGCTCTCTGCTGTCTGCTCTCTGCTCCCTCTCGCCGCGCGCTGATGCCGGGAGCCGGAATATGACGTCATATTCCGGCTCCCAGCTCCAGCAAACAGCCCGCTCAGCTGGAGAAAGGCGCCCGCCCCACTGGACCCCAGGGAAAAGTCCACCAGCACTCCAGGTAGGAGGCTGGGTGGACATTGTTTTTTAAAATTAAAATATAATAATTTGTGTGTGTGTGAGTATGTGTGTGTGTGTGTGAGTATGTGTGTGTCTGTGAGTATGTGTGTGTGTCAGTGTGTGTGTGTGTCTATAAGTATGTGTGTGTGTCTGTGAGTATGTGTGTGTGTGTGTGTCTGTGAGTGTGTGTGTCAGTGAGTGTGTGTGTCTGTGAGTGTGTGTGTGTGTGTGTGTGTGAGTGTGTGTCTGTGAGTATGTATGTGTGTGTGTCAGTGTGTCTGTGAGTGTATGTGTGTGTCTGTGAGTATGTATGTGTGTGTGTGTCTGTCAGTGTGTGTGTGTGTACGTATATATATATATATATATATATATACACACACACACACACACACGCAGAGCCGGCGCTATCTGAGTGCCGGCTCTGCTCTAAGCCTTCATGGGCCGGCGGGGAGACCAAAGATCTACCTCACCGGCCCACAGCAGCATGGAGGGAGGCAGTAGAGGACCCAGGCAGCTCTAGACAGAAGCTCTGCCAGGTTCCTCTCGCGATATCTGAGCGTTGCTGCGGCAACGCTCAGATCTCGCGAGAGTTAACTCTAGCCCCGCAGGCTAGAGTTCACTCTCCACTAGACCACCAGGGATGGCACATGGCAGCAAGGATTTACTAATCTGCCAAATACCTCCAAACATACAGCACACACACATACAGCACCTACACACATACAGCTCACACACACACAGTACACTAACCGCACCCTCACAAACACACACAGCACCTTTTAAAAAAAACACAACACCCTCACACACAGCACACTAACAGCACCCTCACAAACAGCACCCTCACAGGACAAACATACACACACAAACACCCTCACACACAAACAGCACAGTCACAAACACGCACCCTCACACACACATCACACTAACAGCACACAGCACACTAACAGCACACACAGCAGTGTGTGTGTGTGTGTATATATATATATATATATATATATATATATATATATATATATATATATATATATATATAGATAGATAGATATATACACACACACGCGTGTGGCGTGTGTTTGTGCTTTAGGGTGCACACCCTAATGCAATAGGCTGCGCACGCCTATGTCTATATAGTGTGCTTGCAATCTGGAAAATGGTCCATTTATTTGCATGAATGTAAAATCACGATTATTCCTAGTGTTTGTTTAAATTCATATTAAAGTGGTGGGTTTTAGTGCATAGATGCTGCCTTACAGAAATAACCGTGTTTACATTTGCCTGAGAACCCACCTAGTGGCTGACAGATCAATTCTTCATAAAATAGATAATCCATAATGCATAAGATTCAGAGTGTAATTCACTACTATTGCTAAATAGGTATTCAATTATTTTCAGGTTTTTGTTTTCTAATATAGTCCCTTAGAAATGTTTGCAGTTTCTGATATTTAAATAAAAATAGTGAACATACAATAAATGTTTCATTCAGACAACCTTTTACCATAGCCTTCATGATTTTTTTTATTTATTTTTTTTTTTTTGTTGTTGTTTATTCTAGAGCAAAAAGGAAACGGAATCAGACATTGTTGGAGAATCAGAATCAGGGCTTGAACAAAAAGAATCAGAATCTGGGCTTGAACAAAAAGAATCAAAATCTGAACCAGAAGAATCTGATTCAGGATCTGAAAAAAACCTTTCAGAAGCAGAATCTGACCATAAAGCTGTTGTTGATGAAGCTGTAGAAGAGAAACAACCCACCGCAAAAAGGCCAAAGCAAAGTAAACCAAATCCTTATGGGGTTTGGGAAGAAGTAAAAGATGAAGAAGATCCCTAGTAAGTAATAATGAATATGTGGACCAATGCATTACATGCTTCCAATTTTCAAATATTATGTGTTTGGAAGAAGCAAAGATAAAGCAAGTTTATTCACTAAACATCATTTTTTTTTTAATTTTTTTTTTTTTTTTTTTACTACATTTGATTGAATTTAAAAAAAATTATAATAATAAAGGTAATGAAGACAATCATGAGGCAAAACAGCCTCAAACATGTATAAATGTAGATAACTTTGCAAAATACAATTGTAATCTAACATGAACTGGACAAACCAGTAGAAATCCAAAAGAGCAAGTTTCATGGTGGTTCACTTCTTGTATGACGTTATATATTGCTTTAAATTGCAATCGATAAAAGGTTGAAGACCCTGATACAATGGGGTACCTTCTATTTATTCCTAAGAATGGGTGGGGGGATAAAAAAAACAAAAACAAAACTATGCTTGGATTTTATTTGTGCTAAGCTGTTTTTCCACTTTGCTTCAATGCAAATAATAATAGTGTGGATTTATAACTTGTCGATTTACCATTGTATTTTGTTAAATTATAATCTACATTTATACATTTCCATGAAGTTGATATAGTCCCTTTAATAAAGTCCATACAATCAAGTTGCCAATTAACACTTTTATGATTCCTATGTCTGTCATTATATATTCTTATGTACTTATAGGAGATAGGTACATATAATGTATTGTTTTGGACAATGTAGATGTGTTTTTAATTTGATGCTTTTTGTCTATGTAGTGAGAGCGTGGATTTAGAGCTTCCAAGTGTGGAGTACGACCTTCCTCCTGTCTCTTTACCTGATATCCCGCACGAACCAAATGTGAAGTTTAAGGAAAAAACTATCACCTCCCTCGGAGACACAGTAGAAGGGACTTCTGTTTTCAAGAAAAGGAAGCTTGAGAATGGCAAGTCCAGAAGTATACGCCAGAGAGTAAATGATCAGTAAAGGACTTGGACTGTTTATGGCCATTCCATCAAATTATTTTTAAACCTTATCTCTGACAAGGTGTGGTTTTTTTGTTTTTTTTTGTTTTTTTTTGTGTGTGTGTTTTCTTTTGGGGGGAGGTGGAGGGGGTATTTGCCACCCTCCATATGCATTTTATGTAAGTCTATGCGTTATTCTATTGCATAATCAAGTTTGTGTTCGTTTTTTTTTTTGTTTTTTTTTTGAGCGATATTAATTTATCTTGGAACGCCGTAACCCTGCATCTCTTTTAAAGCTCTTTAAAAAAAAAAAAAGGTACATTTTGTGTTTTGTTTTTTTTGGGGGGGGTTTAACCTTTCTGAAAAATGGTGAAAATGTTCTCTTCTAACCACTTTTGGCTTTCAAATTCTTGCCTAAATAAATTTCTTATTTAATAATGATCAAATGAATATTAGTAATTTCAAATGAAAATCATTATTTCAAAGTATTTGTTCCAATAAGAAATCAGAAAAGATGTTATTACCTCCTAAGGTTTAATATAGAGAAGGTTGAAAGGAAGACACTTCACAATATAAACGTGTGTGTGTGCGTGTTTTAATTATAGATTCCTTTGTTACCCCTGAGATCATGGGAAAATGTAGCATGAGATCTGGATATTTAGAGCGAAGTAAAACAAAAAAGGCTTTCAGAATTCCCCATAAAATAGGTTTGTTGGGAAAACTCCAAATAGAATTATAGATGGCAGAAAATTGTTTCATTTTCTTTTCCTGGCTATTTTCCATGACAGGATCACGGATATGTTAGCCCCTCCTCCCAACTCTTTGCAACATCCAACTTCTGGTGCTGGATAAAGGTCAAATTAGATGATCATGTAGGTGCCCTGCATATATCTGCCACAGATCTTGTAGAATGTGCTTTTATTCATAGTGGAGCAGATTTGTCCCTTTTATGGAATAGGCTTTGGAAATGGAAATATTCACAATGTAGCATTAGAAGCAGTTTCACCTCTTGTTGCACCCAAAGGTAAAATGAATAGTTTGGTAGATTTCCTAATAGTTTTGGATTTGGCTTGAAGACATCTCTTGACATCCAGCTTCTCCGCTGGAGGAGAAGAATCTGGAAAAAATTCTGAAGATATTGCTACAAGAAAAACATTTTTCCGAGTCAATATATAATTCAATATTACCAATAAAGGTTCAAATGGTTTATTAGTCACTACCTCCAGGACAAGGGGAAGATCCCATGGAGGAGAAAGAGACCAAACAGTGGGTTTAATACATCAGGCTGCTTTCATAAATCTGGTCACTAGAGGGTTCAATGCCCGTCTAATGTTAAGTGCAAAAACCTGCACCTGAAAGGGAAACTATATAGGCTAAAAATACAAACTTGTGTTCTTAGCACTATAGCTCCCTATAGTGCACCCCCCTGTAGAGCAAAAACATATGTCACTGAACTGAACCCAGCACGATGTCCCTCAGTGCTGGATCAGGCTCCGCCTTGTCTCCTCTTCCTTCCCCGATGTCAGAGACCCAATGCTCATGTGCTGAAAGTGCATTAGGACGGCCCCATAGGAAGTCTTGTATAATGCTTTCGGTGAGGTTTTGGGTGACTGGATGTCCTTATGAATAGCATGATGACGTCCACCAAGTTCCTCTGGTGGCTGTGTTGCAGGCAGCCACTAGAGGCGGAGTTAACCCTGGACAGTAATTATTGCAGTTTCTCAAAACCTGCAGTAATTACTATTGAAGGATTAATGGGGACTGGGATCAATGAGCTGTAGTGGTCTGGGGGTACCTACCGTATTTTCCGGCGTATAAGACGACTGGGCGTATAAGACAACCCCCAACTTTTCCAGTTAAAATACAGAGTTTGGGATATACTCGCCGTATAAGACTACCCCTCTTCCAATGCACACCAAATAAAAATTAGCCATGATGTACAGTGAGCAGACAGAGCTACACAGCAAGACATTAAATAATGATAATCTGAAATAGCATTTAAAGCCCAGGTATGTGCCCGGCTGTTTGGGCATATAATCCATGCCTGCTGGTCTAGCACACAGGAGGCTAATTGCGATATATTCTTTTTACTCCCCCCCTCCATTCTTTTTACTCCCCCCCTCCATTCTTTTTACTCCCCCCCCCCAATCCTCCCTACATTCTTCTCACCTCCCCTTCCCTGTGCACTTCCTTTCAGTCCGGCCGGGAACAGGTAACTGAATCTCCTGTACCGCGCGGTACCCGGCCGGACTGACAGGACGAAGAGGAGCTCGGCCACCCACTCTGCACAGGGAAGGGGAGGTGAGAAGAGAGGCAGTGCGGCAGCCGTCTGAGCGCTCTCTATAGAGCGCTCAGGCGGCTGCAGCATTAGAAGGGCCGATGGGGGCGCAGGGCGCCCCCGGCAGCTATATAGACCCTATACCCGGCGTATAAGACGACCCCCGACTTTGGAGAAGATTTTTCAGGGTTAAAAAGTCATCTTATACGCCAGAAAATACAGTATATTGTCGCTTTAAGGGAACTTTAAAACAGACCCTTATCTAGGCCCCCTTGCAAAAATTCCAAACTATCTGAACATGAAGGCGAGTAAAAATTTTTATTTTCTTCCTATCTGACCAGATAGGAATGTATCCCAAATGCAATAAGAGGCTGTATCCTCTTTCTAGCTATAAACAGAGTCTCTGCCACACCTGAACCGAATAATAAATTCCCATAAGAATGAATGTAAATTTGATTAATCTGTTCCAGACCCCCAACATTATTATCATCTACACTAGTTTTACACATATCTGAAGCCCTTGCGGCAACATCACTACGCTACATTTATCAGGTTAATGATGTAGTAAAACAAAAAAAGATGAAAACCTTTAAACTATCTTTCAGAATGACAGTTTAGGAAAAAGTATATGCATCACTTGACTTTTTTTTCCATACAAAATGAAACTTTGTGCTAAAACTCCCAGTAGTCCTGGGCCGCAGCAAAGAATATAATACGCATCAGCCCCAATATATAGAACAAATAACACACAAAAAAGGTACCTGCACCCCCTCACCCTGGAGGAACTCAAACTGGCTCTTAAGATCGCCAAAGCACATAAGGCGCCCGGTCCAGACGGCCTCCCGGCAGCATATTATAAAAAATTCCAAGACGTCCTGCTACCACACCTCCTACGTGGCCTTAACCATCTACTTGATGGCGGCCACTTACCGAGAGACACGCTGGCGGCCACCATTTCGCTCATTCCAAAGGAGGGAAAGGATTTAACAATCTGTTCCAGCTACAGACCGATTTTCTTACTTAATGCAGACTTGAAATTGTTTACCAAAGTGCTGGCTGCGAGGGTCGGGCGTGCCCTGCCGGACCTGGTACACCCAGACCAGGTGGGATTCGTCCCTGGCAGGGATGCACGCAACAATACTATTAGGGCTCTTAACGTGATCCACTTAGCGGGGAGCGGCCGGCTGGCGATGCTTCTCCTCTCGACCGACGCCGCGAAGGCGTTCGACCGGGTGGACTGGCGGTTCATGCTGGCGACGCTCCGCGCGGTGGGATTTGGGCCGCACATGATGACATGGATAAGCTCCCTCTACACGATGCCCATGGCTCGCCTGCGGATCAATGGAGCCCTCTTGAAGCCCTTCAACATCTGTAATGGCACAAGACAGGGCCCCCTGTCCCCCCTCCTGTTTGCCCTCTCCCTGGAACCTTTCCTGGGGGCGGTCAGACGGGACGGGGGAATAACGGGCCTCACCTGCCACGGACTGGAGCAGAGAGTCGCAGCTTACGCAGATGACCTCCTTTTCTTCCTTACCAACCCACTCATCTCACTACCGAACCTGCTAGCAAAGTTCCGGGAATATGGATATCTCTCCAACCTAAAACTCAATACGGATAAGTCAGAAGCCTACCTGATCAACTTACTAGCCACGGATACAACCCATCTCCGGGCTCAGTACCCATTTAAGTGGCGCGTACAAAAGATCAAATACTTAGGTATCTGGCTCACAGGAGACATAACGCGACTCTACCAGGAGAATTTCATACCCATTCTCCGCACACTGCAAGCAGATATGACGACCTGGGGCGGCCTGTGCATCTCATGGTTCGGGAGAATCAATGCCCTGAAGCTAAACTTGCTCCCTCGACTCCTTTATCTGTTCCAGACTATCCCAATAACGATACCTAGAGCCTTCTTCCAGGCGCTCAATGCCACAATATTAAGATTCGTATTGAAGATGGGTCTGCCCAGGGTAAATAGAGCGCTCCTGTCTTTGCCCAAACAAATGGGAGGCCTAGGGCTCCCTTCGATCGCTCACTACTACAGAGCTGCCCACTTACTACGGATGGTGGACTGGCACACATCAAACCCGGACAAAATCTGGCGGGACTTGGAAAACAACCAACTGGCCCAGATGCTACCTTCCGCAGTCTGGATGACACACCCCCTCAAGGACCCCAGGTTGGCTAAAAATCCGTTTATTCGGGCCACGATGAAGATATGGATGTCCACCCGGCTGACCGACGGGCTCACCACGACGCCAGGCCCCCTGACAGCCGTAACCCTGATATCGCGGGAGGCCTGCGGCCTAGTGATGTAGCAAGCCTCGGGGGAACTGACTGGACTCACATGAAACATCTATGCTCCACTACAAGATTAATGGAGCTGATCCCAGAAGGTGCCATTTCCCTAATGGACAGGTTCCGCTACCATCAGATACAGCACCGGAACACAACGGGTAAACATTTCGACTGCGAGGGGAATCACGCTCCTCTACTCCATGCTGCTCACGGCCTCACCATGCGCACCGCCACGGTACATGTCTTGCTGGGAACAAGCTACGGACCAAACAGTGACGGACCAACAATGGGAAAAGATACACATATTAGCACATCAGGGTACAATAAGCTCGAAAATCCAGGAACTCAATTACAAAATCATGGTCAACTGGTACAGGACTCCAGCCAGATTGCATCGCATGCACAGCGACATCCCTGACACCTGCTGGAGATGTGGAGCTGAGGGGGGAACAGACATCCACATATGGTGGTCATGCCCCAAAATCAGGCAATACTGGAAGCAAATTCACTCCAAAATCCAGAACATAGCAGACCCAGAGCTGCCATTTCTGCCCCTACCAATGCTTTTGCACTTTTGCTCCTCTCAACCCCCCCCCCCACCCCACTCTGTCCACCTCCTTCTTCCTCCGGTCGGGGGGCGGCACACCATGCGGCATAGATATGGGGACCACAACGGGTGTGGGGAACGCCAGCAGGGGATAACCAAAAGAGATAGTCCACCGAGGACAGACCTTTAGTCCAGGATTCAAGACCAGGGCAAGGGCCACCACAGCAAGACTTGGACTCAAAATTATGCACTAAGCCATGACTGACAGATGGGACGTCCAGTCGCAATTAGCCAGGTAACCGGACTAGCCCGGACAGACACATAGCCCATAGTAAACCGAAACACAAGGCGAATCCACGTGCGGCCCTCACCCATCACGTTCACATATCCGATAGCTCCCCATGCCCGCAATAGGTAATGATAATTAAGCACCCCGCAACCCATGGTACCTAGGTTGCCAAAACTGATGACGCCCCGATGGCCTCACCCGCGCCCCTGACTCACCTCCTGACGCTCAATATCCTAGTTACGCACTTAGCTCAAGTCAGTCCCTGACTTCTACGCACCTAACCACCACAAACGATGATAACCAAGAAGCTGGCTAGTAGTTCAGCAGACATATCCATTGAGAACTGTACCTTGTTACATGTTATAGTTGGTTCTTACTTATTAGTTCAACATGTTCTTCATAAATCGTGGCCTGCGGTATATGTGGGAAGATATATATTACATAGGGCCCTACTTGATATATGTACAACCCGCTTTTCCCCATTTCTTATTCTGTACCCCATACATTTTAATATCTTAATAAAAAAGTGATTGACAAAAAAAAAAAAGAAAAAAAAAAGGTACCTGCACACCCAAACCCCTATGCAGGTTTTTAGTATCACTCCAATGGCCATTAAAGTGTGAGCTCACCTAAAAGAATTATTAGTGTAGGACTCACCTAAGAGGTTTGCCTTGACATTGCAGGTGATCTTACATTTCAATACCATTAAAGTGATACTACAAACTTGTGCATAAGAATTTGGAATTGTGTGCTGGTAACTAGTGATGTCCCGAACGGTTCGCCACGGACTCATCATTGAGTAAACTTTGACCCTGTACCTCACAGTCAGCAGACACATTACAGCCAATCAGCAGCAGACCCTCCCTCCCAGACCCTCCCACCTCCTGGACAGCTCACTAAGAATGCAGCTTCACAATGAATGTAAAATGGATGCTGTCCAGGAGGTGGGAGGGTCTGGGAGGGAGGATCTGCTGCTGATTGGCTGGAATGTGTCTGCTGACTGTGAGGTACAGGGTCAAAGTTTACTCGATGAGTCCGCAGCGAACTGTTCGCGGTGAACCGTTGCCGAACCGTTCGGGACATCACTACTGGTAACTTATTTTTGTGTTAATTATTTTTTAAGCCAGCAAGCAAACACTTCTAAACAAATGTAAAAACCAAAATATTGCAAGAAAAACTTTGAACTGTATGTAATAAATGCTTATAAACTTACTATAAACTTGGTCAGCTTGCATTTTTGGGCACACCTCTCAGTTAGGGTAGTTTATTAAGCCAGATTCCTTCTAATCAGAAATAGACTCACATCTCATAAACCTCTGCTCTGTAAAGTGATAGAAGCCATACTTGGCAGTGCCAGGACTGAACTGGATTGTTATGTCAATTGATATATTTTTTAACATATATTAAAAAGAAGCACCACATGAAAAAAGGTTAATAATATATGTTATTTTCATTATTTTATTCTATGGTGGTATTTCCGGAGCTGTGATAAGAATGTTCCCCTTTAAAGGACTACTCTAGGCACCCAGACCACTTCAGCTTAATGAAGTGGTCTGGGTGCCAGGTCCCTCTAGGATTAACCCTAGAAACTGCTATGTTTATAAATGGGTTAATCCAGACTCCAAATCCTCTAGTGACTGTCTCATTGACAGCCGCTAGAGGCGCTTGCGTGCTTCTCACTGTGAAAATCACAGTGAAAACACGCAAGCGTCCATAGGAAAGCATTGTAAATGCTTTCCTATGAGACCGGCTGAATGAGCGCGCAGCTCCTGACGCGCATGTGCATTCAGCTGAAGAGGAGGATCGGAGGAGGAGAGCTCCCTGCCCGGCGCTGGAATAAAGGTGAGTTTAACCCCTTTCCTTGCCATCCAGCCTGGCGGGAGGGGGACCATGAGGGTGGGGGCACCCTCAGAGCACTTTAGTGCCAGGAAAACGAGTATGTTTTCCTGGCACTATAGTGGTCATTTAATGTTGAAATAATCTCATTATTATTTATCATTAAAGGGACACTTCACTGCCCAAATAAAACAGTTTAAAAATCACTACTTAGTAGATATACCCCAATGAAAACTTGTATGCATTTAATTATGTCTTTTTTTTATTGGGGGTATATCTGAAATCAGCTTGCAAAAGCTGCAGATATCTTGTCTGCAGCCGTTGCAAGCCCTTCCCTTCTAATTCCGTCTAGACTTTCTGTGACTGTCCAATCACAGACTTCTCAATGCAGCTCAATGAGAAGACTCTTTAAGCCAGGTGCTCTGGATAATTGCTTCCTCTTGAGTTTAGTCAAATGTTTGATTGATTACCTGGAAGGGGATGGTGTAACAAGGTTTATTTACAAAAGTTAAATTTTCTATTGAAATCTGAACTTTTTGTAAAATAAAAAAGAGAAGAGGAGGATACACTCTTCACACATAAAGTACTTCAGCAAGCTAAGGAGCTTTAGGGGTCTCGCATGTCCATCTAAACCCTTTTGGAGGGTACCTTCCCTGTGTAATATGCCCAATTGGGCATTATGGATAAGATCCCCCCAGCCCTTCCATTTGCAGTGAAAGCTGCAAAATTATATTGTACACACATTTGATTGATTTACACACCCCCTCCTATGTTACATGGAATTACAAGGTCCATTTCACCAGCTCAAAGCACATGTATGAGCTATGGGCCGGCGAGGGTTGGGAGTGGGGAGGAGGGTTTTTTTTTTGTTTCTGTTTTTAAACTGTGTGCAATGGAGGTGAGCAGGAGAGGGGACAACTATATCCAATTTGAGTAGATTATCACATCATGTGCACTGACAATATTTGCAAAATATGCACAGAACTGACAGGCAGCCGGGAAAAGAAATCTGGATTGCCAATGTCGCGTGTGCTGGTGGTGCAACTAACCCCCTAGCACACAATTAAAAATAGCTCAGCATGTGCAGTTTTCAAATCAGTGAAGTGGTCGTGGTGGTTGGTATAACCCTTTTAGCAGTTAAAGGACCACTATAGTGCCAGGAAAACAAACTTGTTTTCCTGGCACTATAGTGTTAATAGGTCCCCCACATCCTTATGGCCCGCCATCCGCCGGGCTCTAGCTGTAGGAAGGGGTTAAACACTTACCTTTTTCCAGCGCTGGGCTCCCTCAGCGCTGGGGACTCTCCTCCTTCTTCCGATGTCATCGACTGAATGCGCATGCGCGGCAAGAACCGCGTGCGCATTCAGTCAGTCCATAGGAAAGCATTCTCAATGCTTTCCTATGGTCGCTGGTGTCTTCTCACTGTGAAAATCACAGTGAGAAGTGCAGAAGTGCCTCTAGCAGCTGTCAATGAGACAGCCACTAGAGGCTGGATTAACCCTAATGTAAACATAGCAGTTTCTCTGAAACTGCTATGTTTACAGCAGGCAGGGTTAACCCTGGATGAACCTGGCACCCAGACCACTTCATTAAGCTGAAGTGGTCTGGGTGCCTATAGTGGTCCTTTAAAATATATTTGGGTGGTTCCTGACTTTTGATTCACTCTGTTTAATTTGATGAAAAACACTATAATAAATATATAATAAAGTTAGAAACAGAACATTTTGTAGATGATTTTACAAAGAAAGATTATTATGCCATTGGTGCTATCGCCATCAGTTGTCATACTGAACTTAACAACATTCAAGGGTGAAGTGGTCAAGAAAACTAGCCCTTAAGCCGCAATCTCCAGTCATGAAGAAAGCCAACAGGGATTCCTTTAATTTTTAACATGTATTTTGAGTTTTGTTGTAGTTACCTCCTAGCAACACCCACTGATATAATCAAACTATTGCGTTATTTTACTTTCGTCTTCCTCAGATGCCCAACTGAACAAAAAGGAGAACATCAAAGGTAGGTGCTAACCATTTTATTAATTACCTAATCACATTTTAATATCAGGATGTGTGAAAATAAAATGTCATCATGACAAATATCTTGATTTCCATGAATTGAATGTGTCCTATTTAAATTGTTAGTTAAACAAAAATGAGGGATAACATGTTAAAATCATACAAAGGAGGAATAACCAGACTGATGTAAGTGAACAGTGACAAAGAAAAATGTGGGCAAACAAGAAGGTCCTTTTCACTACAGTGTCTAGCATTAGGGTAAGTTAGGGAGTCCACTGCCTTTAAAGTGGCTCTGTTACCTTTCTCCTATTGTTTCCTCTTCACTCCTTCTTTACATGTTCTTCTTTTTTATATTTTTTGTCTATTTCACCTTAAATCATAAGACAAAGTATTGACTGTATTGTTTTGTGTAATTTTTCGATGGTTAACATTCTTAACAAACGATGGAGCTTAAAGAGATACTACAAGTACCAAAACAACTTTAACTTAACAAAGCAGTTTAGGTGAATAGGTTATGCCTCTGCTGTTTTACTGACCAATTTTCTGGCACTTAGGAGTGAAATCACTTTGGTTATACAGCCCTAGTCACACCTTCCTTGATGTGACTTACACTGCCTTCCTAAAGAGAGGTCTAATATTTAAACTTCCTTTTTACTCAATCTGTTTAATTTTGAATTTATTATCTTGTGCACTATTAATTGCGTTCTAAACCCTGCAGGAACCTCCAGTGTGTGATTAAAGTAAAATTTACAGAGCAGGAGATAAAAACATTTAAAGTAAGTTAACATCTGGTTACATTAAACTATTTTGTTCATGGAGGCTGTGTGAGTCACTCCATGGCTAGGCCTGCATAAACAGAAACATATTGAGCAGAATTAAGACAATTGGGACATGATGTATACACCAACACTGCTTCTCTAAGCTAAAGTTGTTTTTAAGCTTACAGAATTAACATATCTCCACTACCTCTGTTAATTGAGAAAAGAAGTGGAGCTTGCCTTAAACTCAGCCGTTTGTCAAGATTGTCAAGCATAGGTAAAATAGAGACCAGCGAGCTGCAGGATGTAAGCTAAGCAAATCTTACATTAACTCTCGCAAGAGGGGGCAGACACTTACATAGAGGAACTCTATAACTTTAGGAATACATTTTTGCATCCCTAACGCTATAGTTTTTCTTTAGGCTCAATCTGTTTTCATGATTAAAGTTTCCCTTTAAAACAAACTGTCTCTTCTCTGATAGTGACAGGTCTCATTTCCTTGTCCCCTTAAGGGGACACTGTAGTCACCAGAACAACTACAGCTTATTGTATTTGTTCTGGTGAGTAGAATCATTACCTTCAGGCTTTTTGCTGTAAACACTGTCTTTTCAGAGAAAATGCAGTGTTTACATTACAGCCTAGTGATAACTTCACTGGCCTCTCCTCAGATAGCTGTTAGAGATCCTTCCTGGGTCATGGCTGCCTAAAATGCATCCAAACATTCATTATCTCCTGCCTCTGCATGCAGACACTGAACTTTCCTCATAGAGATTCATTGATTCAATTCATCTCTATGAGGAGATGATGATTGGCCGGGGATGTGTTTGAATTGTGCTGGCTCTGCCCTGATCTGCCTCTTTGTCAGTCTCAGCCAATTCTATGGGGAAGCATTGTGATTGGATCAGGCTATCACTACTGATGATGTCAGCAGGCAGTGGGCAGGTCAAAAGGAAACAGTGACAAAGCATGCAGCTGCAGACTTGAATACAAGTAAGATTTTACTATGTTTAGGGAGGCATGAGGAGACCAGGGTGACTAGATGGTGGTTTTAACCCTACAGGATCAGGAATACATGTATGTGTTCCTGACCATATAGTGCTCCTTTAAATACTACTGAAGTGACGTGTGAGTGAAATACACAGCTCTGCAGTAGTGATGTCCCGAACGGTTCGCCGTGGACTCCAGTCAGCAGACACATTCCAGCCAATCAGCAGCAGACCCTCCCTCCCAGGCCCTCCCACCTCCTGGACAGCATCCATTTTGAAGCTGCATTCTTAGTGAGCTGTCCAGGAGGTGGGAGGGGTTAAATTAATTTACATGGACAACAAGGTGTACAAGGTAAATGAAATCATAAAACCAGTACAGATGAAGGAAAAACAAAATAATATCACAACCCACGGCTAATTTTCAGTTGTTGGTTTGTGCAAAATTTGCGGATGTGATGAAAGGTTTCTTTCCATATTTAACATCTTGCTGTGTTTGTATTATAGAAAACTGCTTGCAAAGATCACAGAGATATAAAATGCCCAATAAAGCACAAGAGGTACGCAATCCATTTCCTATTAATTATGAAATATATAATTACTTATGTGATTGGAGAAAGTAAATGTTCCCTACTGCTTGCTCCTTATATAAGGACAGGTGTTTTGTTTTTTTATACAGCATGTGAATAAGCAGCCGTGTTAGACTATATTGTTATCAATACCGTGCACACATAACATGTTACAGTCTCATTTTATTTATTTTTTTACGGTTGCCTTCCTGTGACGATATGCAGAATTTTATACTGAATTATAAAGCTAGAATGGGTTGGATAAGAATTTCCGATAGATATTTAGAGCCAGCATGTTTTGTAATAATACAACCAAGCATTGGACATAGTTAAATTGGTTAAATAATGTCAACAAACTTCAGCCTTTTTAGGTCTATAATTGTGATATTCAGACCCCTTTTAATATATTCGCACAATAAAGTTGCTTTTCTATCAAACTACTACTCATTTTAACGGATTGATACACTTGTTAGGTGGGCACAATATTTTACCAAGAATATCTGATAGTTTCCTCACTACACGCTAAACTCACAAGGTTTACAATTGTGATGGGGTTGGAGTGGCACGGAGTGGGCATCATCAGTGATGTGACCCATGTCACCAGCAATGCCCATAATGGGCGTGCCGGCCCACTGGAAGGTTGTATGGCCAGGCACAAGCCTCAAGCCTTCAGGGCTATGCAGGGAGCACTGCTGAGGCATTCCATGCATGGTCTGGAGCTGCCCAGGGACAATTTTCTGGTGTCCACAGATGCAGTGAACTGAAGTGGGCTGCCAAAAGTGTATAGTGCTGGTGAATAGTTGTTCCTGACTCCCTAAAGTGAATTCTGTGCAAAAATGATGTCTGTCATCTTCACACTAGCAATGGACATAGTCTGTTTCCTTTCTTGCAGGCAGTGCTGTGTCTGCAGGTACTGTGTACTGCAAACCGTTGAGACAGGTTCCTGTGGGGGGGAGTGGGGTGCTGCCTGGGGTGTTATATTCATCTGATGGTTTCTTGTGATGTTGTGTGTGTGGAGTAGGTTACCAGTGGTGATGCATGTGTATGGGCAAGCTGCTTGTGGAAATGAGGATGTAGGGGAACACTGCTTGCAGGCTTTGCATGTGGAGGGGATGCAGCTTGTGTGTTTTCATGGGGACGGATGCTGCTTGTTGGATTGCGTGTGTGTGGATGAGGCTGTTTTGCAGTGTAATGTATATGGAGGAGACTGTTTGGTGTGGTGTGTACGTTTATGGGCTCTATTGTGTGTTGTGGGATAGTGGAGCTAGTGTGCTGGTAGATAGGGGCTGTAGTGGGTGCACAGTGGGATAGAACCTGTAGTGTAGGGGCTATAATTGTGGTATTGGGGAAAGAGGCTGTAGTGTGTGGGGGCAGATAGGGTGTGGGGGGAGATAGGGACTGTAGTGTAGGTCTGTGTGGGGGTGGCTGTAAAGTGGGTTAAGGGGGAATTATGTTGGATGTGGGGAAAGGGACTGCAGTGTATGTTTGTGGGGGGATGGAGCTGTAATGTGGGTTGGGGGGGGGAGTACTGTCGTGTGTGGAAAGAGAGGGTCTGGAGTATGAAGTGGGATGGGGCTGTAATGTGGGTTCTGGGGTAAAGGGGCTGTAGTTTGTGGGGTAGGCGCAATAGTGTGTGAGGGAGAAATAGGGCTGAAGTTATAATTATGCAAAATACCACTTAACATTATTTTTTTTTAAAATACAAAATACTATACTTCTTCCTTCACCATGGACCTTGGAGGTGTGAATCCTCTTCTCTTGTGGCCCAATGGTAAAAGCATTTGGACTAAATGTCCGCTGTGTTCAACCACATTCATAGGGCTGGTGCTGGGAAAAGTATCAGTATGCATTTTTTATTGGAGATATATCTAAAACCAGTTTGCAAAACTTGTTTGTCTGAGGCCTTTAAAATCCCCCCTTTATTAATCTAGACTTTCTGTGACTGTCCAAACCCAGGCTTCCCAATGCAGCTCAATTAGTAGTCTTTGCAAGGCAGGTTACATCCAGTCCTGTTACTTCCTGGTTGATTAGCTTGGTGGAGCTAAACTGAAGATACTGCATTTGCTCACAGAAGATGTCTTACAAACACTTCTCATTGAGCTGCATTGGGAAGTCTGTGACTGGCTGGAGAAGAAAGTGGGTGCATGCAAAAGCTGCAGACAACAGATCTGCAGCTCTCATTTTGAAATATACCCCAAATGAAAAAAATATTAATTAAATGCATGCATGTTTTCTTTAGATGTTTATATACAAAACAGTGGGTTTAAAGAAAAAATATTTATTTTTAACATGGGCAGTGAAGTGTCCCTTTAAGATATTAAGAGCGTACTTCATGCACTATCCTTAAGTCATAAACAGAGCTGTACTGTGTGTCAGTGTGCATTTGTGTTGTTTACAAGCTTTTTAACATCTGTTATTTTGTATACATAAGGATGCTGTGATTAACCTGAAATCTGTCAAAGAGCTGGGCAGCAAATTAGGTTTTGAGTGGACAATAGTTGCTAGTGAACTTGGATTCAGCCGTCCAGAAACCACCCGGTTCCACACTGCGTCCGTGGAGAAGAAGGTGCAAGCTCAGAAAATGCTGGAATGTTGGTAATTACAATGTGAATGTTATCACTGGTTTACAGACTGCAGTAGGAGCACAGCTTACAGCCAGAGATAAGAACTGTCTGGCTGACTAGCTCTGCTAATTTTCATACAGAACAGGGCTTAAAGAATTTCTCATTTGTACATCAAACAGCATTTACCCATTACCAAACTGCACACATGCAACACTTGAATAATCACATGTGTAGATGTATACATTAATTAATGTCTGCAATTAATTCAAGAATAGAAAAAAATAAAAAAAAATGTCTAATTGCCTAAATATTTAATTGAGTATAAACGTCAGGTTTAGGTTGTAGTTATAGAAACTCATAAAACAGCGGTAAATGCATTATTAAAAATAAAATAAAAAAACTCTTAAACACTCAAATAAATATTGTGATTGTTTACCTCTAGGCTTTCTTCCTTTGTATTTAGTGTTTTACACAAAATTGTCGAGTCCCATATTAAAGTCACTAGTTAACATTGAGGAGAGAAAAAATAAATAAATAAGGTGCAAATAGCTCAAATAGCTTGCCCTTCGGTGGTTCCCTGCTCAGATCTCAAGCTGTTTTTAGCTCATCCTGTGCCATTACAAAAAGAACCAGGGCCAAATGCAGATACAGCAACCACAGACTATCGTTTCAGCCTTGTTAGGCCTCGTCAGTTAGGTATAGCAGATACCCCTCTAGGCACTGTGAGAATTAACATTCTACCACAATTTGAAGTTATTGCTGTCACACAACAGACAAAAGAAGGAGGACAATTGTGTGAAACAGGGAGACAGAAGGGTGGGACAGGTGGTTGAAGAGGGTAACAAGTAAGGGATGGAGAAGAGGGGAGGAAAATGTGAGTGATGGGGATAAATAAGAGGGGTACAAGTGAGGGACAGGGATAAAGAAAAGGGGTTCAAGTGAGTGACAGGGATAAATAAGAGGTACAAGTAAGGGATGGGAATAAATAAAAAGGATAAAAGTCAGGGATTGGGATAAAGAAGAGGGGTACAAGTGAGGGAACGGGATAAAGAAGAAGGGTACAAGTGAGTGATAAAGAAATGGGGAATGGGAAGAGAGGAACAACTGAAGAAAAGAGGTTATGGGGAGAGAGGTATAATTGGGAAAGGGGGAGAGAAACACATGTTGGGGAGAGATAAATGAATAGAGGGGCATAGGGAGATAAAGAGGGGCAGATGGAAACAGTGCACAACCTATACATGCATACTAAATACACAAATATGCTCCTTCATGCACACACTGGCACACTTTAAATACACACCACTAGATTCACACACTAGGACTCTACACAAATATGCCTGTCATTCACATGCACTCACTAACACTCCACACAACTATGCTCGCACATACACATTACCATTCAGCCTCCCAACCATACTCCGAACCAATCATATTCCCCAATCCACTCAGATAGTCCCATCTTACCTCCCAGTCAAATCACAGCCTGTCACATTCATACACTTGGCCACATAACATGTCACCTACCCTCATCCACCTTGCAGTTATCATAATTACCATACAGTCATACCTCAAACTAGTCGCATCAATCAATCCAATCATGTACTCCAAACTAGTCACATTCATCCATCCAATCACATACACCAAGCTTCATATATGTGATGACCGGGGGACATTGAGGAAACTAGCCTTGGGGCAGCCAATATGGTAAATCCAGCTCTGCCAATATAGGACCATTAACTGCATTATTTGCATTATTATAGGTATGAAAAATCGTGGCATAAACTGAATAAAACAAAAATCCTGCAAGATGCTCTAGAACGTGCAGGGAGGAAGGATCTGGCTGACAAGCTTCGATGTCTGCACTGGGGGCACCAAAAGTTGAGCAGCAGGGTGGAACTGCCTTCAGCATTCCCCTTTCTCATTACCGTCCACAAAACAATCAACAACAAAGAGGGTCTAAAGAAAATCAATGAACTAAGTCGCAAGTACACTTAAGCCACAGAGTAATCTGAGCAAATACATTTAAATCCTCTACGTATCATTCGGAAATACCAAATGTAAAAACGAAGCTTGGCCCTTAATCAATCTTCATTTAGCAAAGTTTAACAAGCTTTTAGAGCCCAACATGTACATATTGAACAAGAGTAAGATAATATTTGATGTAGCAATTATTTTCTACTTTATGTAACTACTGACCACTTCGTACTGATATATATATTTTTTCAAAACAGTAAAAAGTATTCTTATCCTTTGGCATTGGGAAGTCTTCTGATACACTATGATGGTAAAAATAATTACACGCAGCGATCAAATGACAAAGACACATGACACTTCCTCTATATAAATAACAGTTTGTATGAAGAGGGAACATTATCAGACTTATTGGTGCATATTTTGATATTGCTGCATGATCACAAGTACCTTTCTGTTTTTCTGAGAATAAAGTTTTAAAATAACACTAAAGTTTGATATTAACTTATTTCACTAGGAGACGTTTTGAGCTAAAGGATCACTACAATTAAACTGGATATGTATCTTTCCATATACATGGCAACAAGCATATACAGGGTTATTCAGTAAATTGAGAATTTTCAGGAATTCGAATGGAATAGACATTTTTTTTTTAAATCTCCAATTCAACTTTGCGTCCAGTTTGGCTACTATGGCTTTAAATTTGAAAGTCCATTTGAATCCCTGACTTTTCTCACTATAGTAAATAATCCTGCTGGTGTTATTCACTGAAACTTGAATTACTGGTCATAAATCTTATGCCTAAAAATATCAAGAATTGTAAACAGTTTGAAAAGATACAAAACAACAACCAACCACTCCACCAACCACTAGCCAGCGCTAATATGGCAAGTAGGTGGATTGAAATGGGTCTCCAAAAGAAATGGACTCCATGGATGTGGGTATTAGATATAAAAAGGGGGCAACAGTAGGTTAAAACTATTTATTAGATACTAAAATAGAGGGATAAATTATATACAGAGAATCGAGGAACATACATGAACAGCAATCAGCTGCAGGTACAGACTGGATGGGACAAGTCAGCACAAATGTTACTGCGATAGAAAGAGGATAGGAGTAAAGAGAACATGCTAGAGCTTGAGCAATAATTAATAAATACTCCACCCAAATAGAAATTAGTCTAGGTGTGCCGCAGTAAAATAAAAAAGAAGGGGTATGCAGTGTGGGCTATTTTAGTAGATTGCACCTTGATACAAAAACATGCTATGCCTGATGTACAATATAAACATACACAAAAATATATATCACAACGCTTAGTGTAAGAACACCCGGAGTGGTCAGATGTAGGACGGTAGTCACTGTCAGCAAGATCAGGCAGCAGTACAACTAAACCTCGGAAAGTGGTTGAGCGTATATGAATGCTGTCCACCACAATGCCTACATAACTGTAGGTGGCTCAAAAGGAGAGAGAAAATTAGGCACCCTCAAAGAGGCAATACAGAAGGGCCAATACTGTGCAAACAGTACCACAGTACAAGAGAGACTCTGATGTCTATGTGACTCGAGTGAAGTTAACAACGGTGACCTAGAGTCAGATACTGTCACAGCATGGTATACCTATATAGATACCCCTGCCCCTAGTATACACAGGCCTCCCAACAAGCAGGACTAGAGAATCTATACCTCAGCATTGCAGGCCAAACTCTGCATATTCCTACAGTGACCAGCAAGAGTTTTAACCTACTGTGCCCGCAGCCTGTCCCCCCACAGGTACCTTATACCATTCATTGTCTGGTCCAAACCTTTTCATTTCCTGAATTGTAAACATTTGCCAAGATTACTGTTTCCAGTTTAGCTTTCTTAGCCTAATATTTGCAGTTTACTGGTGATCACCCATCCGTTTATGGTTTAATGAATAACCATTAAGAGACTACAACCTGAGACTAACCTGGAAGAGTCAGCAGCATATGAACTCTAAATTCTAAACAAGTTTCTGAGAAGTTTCCCAGGCAATCTTTGAAATTTGGTTTGATTAAAATTAATACATGCAAGGTACAGGTGGCATCATAAGCAGGTACCCTTTTGCCAGTACTGGAACCAGATATGGTGCAAATTTTCCAATTATTTTCTAAACGGGTCACAAAACCACTGTCCGGAGCATCTGCCTCCCCATGCGTAGGTGCATGTTAAACACACTTTTGGATGGATTTAAATGTATACCGCACTTTATGGTTGGGATTAGCTTGTTTGTGGACATTTCCAATATTCTCAACCAACAATGGAAAATGTAAAACAGTGGTTATGGTGCCAAGAGTGCCCAGGCAGTTATAATACTCTAAAAACAATTTAACTTCTTTTCTGGGGCACTACATCTGATAAAGTTGAAAGTACTTGCTCTAAGCTAAGGTGCAAGGTTTGCTCACTAGCTGCCTTCATTCAAACCCAGGTGCATTAACTCAGTCCCAGAATCACTTGCAATGATGTATTAACTCTTCCAATAAAATATTAGTCAAATATACCATAAGGCATATCAGACAAAACAAGGTCTCTCGAAAAAAATGGGGGAAAATCCTTTATTGCTAAAAATCGTCAAATCAAATATAAAAGAGGGAAATATACAAAAAAAAAAAAACAAAAAGAGCTGAAAAATGTCTGTGATCAAATGAAACCAATTAAACTACATTTTGGAGATAGCTCCTTTGGTATTATCCAGATAGAAATAACTATATAATACACTAAACTTACATAAACATTTTACCCTTTCCCATCTGGTTGATAGGGGGAATCAATAAGCAAGTAATTGAAATAACAGATATTGGATGTTCAGGAATGCAAGTTGGTGAGGGTCCTGCTCAAACAAATTTACACAAGGGGGGCAGGATATAACTACACCTGCAGCACGGTCACTAGCAAGCCTTGAACAAGGCTGGCTAACCTTATGTGCATAGCGGACGTTTGCACGCACGGCATGCTAGTGATAGCGCTACGGAATCTGTTGGCGCTATATAAATGGCAATAATAATAATAATAGCAAAAGTGGTGTGCCCCTCCCTCCTCAAACACTGCAGAATTCATCTCCTCAGCCCATCCTTCTTGACACTAGCAGCACAAGATGATTTTTTTTTGTTCCCCAGTGTTTTGGTAGAACCATACCAGTAAGGTTTGTGACCAAAAAATGTTTATTAAAACAGTTTGTTTGTCTTAACCTGTTAATATACACTCATCAGCCACAATATTAAAACCACCTACCTAATATCACGTAGGCTCCCCTCATGCTGACAAAACAGCTCTGATGCATATAGGCATGGACTTCACAAGACCTCTGAACATGTCCTGTGATATCTGGCCCCAAGACATTAGCAGCAGATAATTTAGGTGCTGCAAGTTGAAAGCTGGGGCCACCATGGATTGGATTTGTTGTTCCTGCACATCCCACAGATGTCACGGCAGCACCTTGAACTCTTTGTCATGTTTCTCAAACAATTCCTGAACAATAATTGCAGTGTGACAGGGTGCATTATCCTGCTGAAAGTGGACACTGCCATCAGCTAACACCATTGCCATGAAGGGGTCTATCTGATCTGCAACAATAAGGTAGGTTTAATGTGTCAAAGTAACAATAAGGTAGGTGGTATGCGTCTAAAGGTTACCCAGCAGAACATTGATAGAGCATTACACTGCCTCCCCCGGCCTTCCTTCTTCCCATAGTGCACCCAGCTGCCATCTCTTCCCAAAGTAAATGATGTGCAGACCAGCCAACTTTCTTCCAGTGTTCCATGGTCCAGTTATGCCGCTCATGTCCCCATTGCAGGCACTTTCAATGGTGGACAGGGGTGCATCATGGGCACTCTGACTGGCCTGTGGCTATGCAGCCCCATATGCAGCAAACTGCGATGTACGGTGTATTCTGATGCCTATCACGGGCCACCATTGGGTTTTTCAGCAATATGAGCTACAGTTATACACGTGGAACATGCATTTCTCAGCCATGGTATTTTCATATAGACCAAAATATAGTCATATCATTCTAAGCCCAGCCCAATAGTGATTGGTCCTACATGAATTCCAATGTGGCAAACAAATGAAAGTGCTAAATGAACTAAAGTGTATTTAATCTGGGGTACCGGTTGTCCTTCCTTGCACCACTGTTAGCAGGCACTAACCATTGCATACTAGGAACACACCACAAGAATTGCCGTTTTGGAGATGATCTGACCCAGACATGTAACCATCACTATTTGGTCCTTGTCAGAGTCACTCAGCTCATTTGGTTTGCCCATTTTCCCTGCTTCCAACATATGAAATTCAAGAATTGACTGTTTACTTGCTGCCTGATATATCCCATCCCATGACAGGTGCCATTGTAACAATATAATCAATGCCAGTGGTTTTAATATTGTGCTTGTTCAGTGTATATTTTTTAGCCATGTTTAGCAAGCACACATATTATACGGGACAACTTAGGTGAAGACAGAATATAATAATCAGTAAAATGTCCATAATAATAGTATTCTACTTTTTATTGTCACGACTGTTCCGCACTTACAGCTGGCCCAATATTGTTACTATATAAATAGGTAGTTAGTCACTGTGCTTCAAGCATTGCTACTTTGGTTGAATATTACATTCTACCCCTTGAAACAGGGTGAAACGGGACATTTATGCTTTAGTGCAATTTAGATAATTAAACAAACAGCAACTACAGCTAGTGAAGTGAAACTAGTGTATAGTTAAAGTTTTACATACTTCTTCAAAACTTTTCCCAAGCTGATCTCCTGTTGAATGTGTGACCTCTTGATCATTCATTAGGAACTACATGTGGGAGTATAGTGTTCTTACATAAAGATCATAATTCATTTCAACTGTGTTACAGGGTATCACTATAAGCAATAAATCACTTTGTATTTCTCCCATGGAGGCTGGGAAAATTCACACAACCTAAAAGAAGCAACTTCTAAAACTATATGTCCATTTAAATTGCTCAAATACAAAAACTACCCTCTGAAAATGCACAATGAGAGCCATTTGATGTAAATGAGCAAATCATCTGTAAAATCTCTATTCTATTTCCAGCTTACCCCACAGAGATTCACTGTCTTCTGCTGGAAAGTATAAAGATCTAATGCAGCAGATAGTGTTTTGTGAACTTGCCAGCAAATGTGTAAACTATTAGGTTGAAAGCTGGCCCCCATTTAATTCAAGATCGATGCACCTATACATTTAAGCAAATAAGATGTGTGTTTCTTTTTTATGCTTTTTTGCACAATATTAAAGTTTGACAAATTTGACCATGTGAAAAGGGAAAAATAATATCCTATATCATATTAAGATTTGTAATTTTGATTTGTTGTATTAAATTCACGAAAATGGCAAAGGATGTAGATTATGCAAAAAAAAACCCAGCAATACATTTAGACCATTACATTCTATAGCCTGCCACTTCTAGTCTTTATAGAGTTAAAGCACATTTATTTTAACATGGCTACCAGCATATTATACTCCCCTTTTGCTAAAAGAGAAATATATATACACACACACACACACAGGTAACAGTGTCTGTTGCCAAGTTCTGCAAAAATTAGAATCCAGAAATAGAGCACTTTTAAAATAATACATACTAATATCTGTAAACTGTGAGAATTTCTCAAAAGGGACACAGAGCAACATATATAAAGTAGCACTTGTATACATACACAAGTTATAAATCTTACCTTACCTATACCTTCACTGTCAAACTCATCCCCAGTGTATAACAACCCAAGAATGACAATGAGAGAAAAGGTGGTTCCCCACTCAGGTCAGCTTATAATGATCACGCAACTTTAACTCTTTAAGGACAGAGGCAATCATACACGTTCAAAACAAAATCAAACCCTGGAATTTGTGCTAGATGTCTGTTCAACAATACTTTACCTCTTTCATATATAAATGTACCCACACTTCAGAAATATTTTATTCAGGAGAAACATGGCTTCCATCTCACATCAAATATTTATCAAGCATAATTTATTATGAAATTATTTTTTAAGTTCTGCATGTCATTTTAACAGAGAGTGTTGTAATACTGTTCGCTTTTCCTGCAATAAAAAAAAAAAAGGTAAGGCACCAGGACGGCAGGGGTATTCTAAGCTGCCCACCGGCCCCTTAAGAACGGCACAGAACGCCCTCCATCATTAAGGGGTTAAACTCGCTGTACTCCTCCTTCATTCGCTATCCAATTCCATGAACCCCATTTGGTTTACTGCAGCCATATAGTTTTGTTTGTTGGGTAAAAAGTACACAGTTTCTTCTTCACCTTATTCGGAGTGAAACAAACTGCATAAATTTTTTTTAATTTTTTTTTTTTAAATGGAACATCAGAAGCATGTTGTTGTGAAGGGTGCAGCCAAGGCTGGGCAGCTACGATAATTAATCAAGGGCAAGGAGTATCTCAAAGATAACTGCAGCAACATAAATACTAGATCGGACATGTCAAGAGAAATGGGAATCTGATCTCCCCCTAGGGTGTACAAAAAGCATAAGAATGTGCAGGTAATCACACCATGTGGTGTTTGAATGCCATTAAATACACAAAATACAGCAAATTAGACTGCAAATGAAAAAAGAGAAAACATTTCCCAATCAGCATGTTTGCACCTAACATTTGGCATACACTTTTAGTAACCCAAGCAGGCACAATCTGTTCTATCTAGGAAAAGGTTAGCAAAAATATATAAATATAGAAGTAGAATGAAAAAGATAATTGGCATGCTCATCTGCAGTTTACCTTGTATGCTTGAAACACTGCGGCCAATAAAGTCCATGGGGCGACAAAAAATAAAACTCTACTCTAGCAAAAAACAAACCTTTATTATAAAATATTTAAAACATGTAATGCATAACCACAATACTAGGATTAGAAACTTACTATGAATGCTCACAGCTCACACCATAGGTCTACAAATAAGATCAGAAACATGTACGAATTGTGTAAGTTGGACATGGAGAAGTGTTTCAAAGTTATGCAAGCATCCATATTTTTGCAATAATGATACTGTTACCCTAGGAATTATGAATACTGTTTTTAAAGGAACACAAACCCAGGCCTCCCTAAATATAGTATAATCTTACTTGTATTCAGGTCAGCAGCTGCTGCCTCTGACCTGTCCAACATCATTAGTGATTCTGTGAGGCAATCACAATGCTTTACCATAGGATTGGCAGAGACTGTCAAGGAGGCAGAGCCAGCACAAGTCAAAAACACCCCTGATTAATAAGCATCTTCTCATAGAGATCCATTGAATCAATGCATCCCTATGAGGAAAGTTCAGATTCTCCATGCAGAGAGGGTGGAGATACTGAGATGGTACAGATCCTGAATGGCAGTACTACACAGTGTGCAGCACTTCCCCAGAAAGCACCTCTAGTATCCATCTGAGGAGTAGTCAGGGAAGTGATCACTACAGTGCAAGGTAAACAATGCATTTTCGCGGAAGAGAGACCCGAAAGTTCAACAAAACATACTGACTAATTTAGAAGTATTCAAAGTCAAGTCGATAAAGGCTCAGAAATGGAAAACTTGGGTACAGTATGCAGAGTTTCTAGTATTGGAAATATTCACCAATTGGAAAAAATATCCCAGATTTCTGCCTGCATCATTTATGGTTAATTAAAAAGCTGAATTTTGCACATTGGAGTGTTGAATTTATTTGGGACCTTAAATATTGATTAAATGCCACTAATCCAACCTAGATTGTTTACTTGGCGGAACTTTATTCCGTAAGTAAATAAAATTGAAGATATCCTTTCACAAACCCACAACATCCGCATGGCAATCACCTCATGGTGTCTGCGCAAATAAATGTTCATTCATGCACACTAACATCCTCCAGACGCTGTCTAAACATACAAAGCATTCATACACAAATACAAGTTTTGCAAAGAAATATATATATATATATATATATATATATTTTTTAAATGGTATTGTATGCCTATATACTGTAGTTGTGATAGGCACAGCAAATATTGGAATGAATGCAGTTTACAAAATTCACATCTGCCCATATATTGCTTCGTGAAAGAAAACAGTATTACACTTTTTTCAGGACCTTTAACATATTGGAGAGGAAAAAAAAATAAAATAAAATTATATATATATTTTATTTTATTTTTTTAATTAATTATTTATTTATTTTTTTCCCAGGTCCCAGCACTCAATGTTCCCGGTCTTTCTGTGCTCCGGTGCACAATCTCCAACCAAAATATATATACCAAGTAGAGAGCACTCTGGAGTCTTGGTAAAGTAAATTCAAACTGCTGCTTTATTAAGCAAACAGTGATTAACACAATAGTCGACGTTTCAGTCTATGCAGACTTTTCAACCCAATACATATGTAATTCCTTATATGGATTAAACACCATTTTACTTAATGAAGACCACAGAGTATCTATTCTGTTAGATATATATATATATATATCTTCAATGTGTGATTGAACCAGGGCAATATTTTCTATTTTTACATTGGACGAAAAGGTGAGTGCCAAGCCATATATATATATATATATATATATATATATATATATATATATATATATATATATATATATATATATATATATATATATATATATATATATATCTTTGTTGTGAACAACTTTCATTACCTTATAATTAACAAAATATGGGGCTAATGATGCAAGTTTAATAACCCTAAATCAAATTAAATTCTCAGTTTAAGCCATCTTTAAGGTCTGTGCCAATACAATCATTGCAACCAACTTATGGTAAAATATAAAAGACTCAAATACCCCACTCTGATGTTCTTGTGTAAAATAATGACAAGTGGTAAACTCTCGATGACTGGCACACATTGACACAATCCAATGTTGCTCAATGATCTATCTGAATGGCTGTCTCCAAGCTGCCTACACAAAGAGTGCGTGACACTTGGAGACGTACTTAAGGGCTCTCAGTTGCCCTCCATAGGGAACTACTTGACCTCACGGATTCTGACTTTTATTGACAAATTTCAACATCATAAGCTGACACTACCTACAATCCATACGTGGAATTGAGGAGGGATCTCTGCCTTTGAGTTTGAGAGCTCTTGCCTCACACTTACATCTCTAAAGTAAGATTTTGCCCTAATTTATAAAGAACTAGATAATTCTAGATTGTTTAGCTTACTGATGTACATAGAGAGGTGGAAGAAATATCTTGGCTTACATCTCACTAACCAACAATGGCCAAAAAAATAAAACAAATCTTTCATCTCACATATTAATGATATGCTCCAAATTTCAGGTGTCACCCATTGGTACTGCACACTGGCAAAATTGCACAAATAAGATCCAAGGATACCGGATGCGTGCTGGAGATGACAGAGGCCCCCTCCCTCTGTCCATTCCAATGGTTTTTTAGATATACTTTTTTGTTCACTAAATACTGCTTGTGTATACGTTCCTTTATACCTTGGACCTGTATTTTGGTCATCTTGAGAAGAACTGCCTTGTTTACACCTCATTGCTGTGTACCCACATGTAACTTTACAATGTCTGCATTATTCTCTACAATTTTACTGTATCACATTTACCTTGCAATAAAGTTTTTTGGAAACCAAAAAAAATTTAGTTTGTGCAGCTGTCATGTTTAAAAAAAATATGGCAGTTTTGTATGTAATGTTCCTACAATCCTTTTTCATATTTGTTTGCCAATACAAAACACTGTTGATCATATTGTGAATCCAATTTTATTTAAAAGAAAAAAAATAAAAGAAAAAAACCTCACCCAGTTAAGTAGCAGTCCTGTTTAAAATAAAACAGGCACATTTGGATGCTCCTGAAACTAAAATCCAAAGGTTCTCTGGTCAATTAACGGGAGCTCACCTTTTATCTGCTAATGTTACAAATCACAGCCTCTATACAACACTGTGCACTTAGATTATCAGAAGTATAAACAGGTGCTATAAAGAGAAGGAAAAAGCACTCAACTGAAGAAAAAAAAATTACAGAACATTTGGTTTAATAAAGGAACCTAATTAGGATATGGGTTGCCTAAAAAATACTCAGTGTTTTAGTATTTTAGCATGGAAGAAAGGAATAAAAATTAAATAAGGCATTTACTACACATCTACTTGGCAAATTTACACTTCCGCGTGTGTTGATATGCACACTATGCCACACACACAAATAAAAGTTACACTTGATTTAAATCAAGCATATGAAAATTTTGCAGATAGATCACAAAACAACATTTCTAAACAATTAGTTTAACATGCCCATGGGTAGAGAATTTTTGTAAATTAACAAAGAAACCCCGATACTCTTATTTTCTAAAATGAAAACAGGTGTCCTTTTGTGAATTACTGCATTATGCATTTTTTTTTTAATTCACTAATCTGCAGCTAGCTTTCAAGTCCTTGGGGTTTTGGGATGACATCCTAAGGAGGCACCTGCCCATATCTGCATTACTATAATATTGTAATGTAATTCTACTAGATTTGGTTAGACACCAAAAGGCAGTGACATATGTACAATGAGTTTAACATTTATATATGGCAAATATGTTTATGTCCATTCACATTTTTTTGTAAGAATTCTAGATTTTGTTTTGTTACACATAAATTGGTGCTTATTCAATCTCCTTTGCTAAGCAGCCTAGAGGTCAGCATATGTTTGAAACTAATACCGTACCTTGTGCTCAGCAAAACCTATTCTACAAACCACACAACTAATCTGTATATTAAATCATAAAGAGACAATAGCACCCTTGAAAAATATATTAAACAAGCTTTTCCCAATACAGAACACATTTCCATCTCTTAAACAAAATATTATAGTTTAATTTAAAGGGAGAGCAGTGTAGGATGTTTGTATGATGGGATGCATTAACAAGTGAAGCATGTTCATTTTCAGTTTGTCCAAGGAACCTATACAAAGCGGCAGAGAAAAAAAAAATAAAAAAAAATCTACAAAATACGGTTTGTGTGCCAAGCAAAATTACGGCATAGCCATTAAAAAGAGCCCTCTACGTATATCCGATGCCTTGCTGAAACCCTTGGCCACTCATCTTCTGAGAAGGAGCTGAGGCTGTCAGACTCTGAGTCCAGCTCACTGAAGCCATCCATCCAGTCAGTGCTCGACTCACTGCGAACATCATCCTCTTCTGTAATGAAACTCTGCCCTGGCTCCAGGCAGGATGGATACACACGAGCAGAGAGGCAGATAGAACCACAGTCATAATGCAAAAGGCCAAGCATGGTGCCAATATTAAGCCAGCGGTCATTTGTCACATCATACTCATGGACAGTAACTCTGTTCTTCTTCCACTGAACAGTAGTACAGGTGATGAGCAACAGTTTTGAACCATGACGTACAATCTGGTAGTTGTTTGTGTTCCCTTCAGTTGGTATTTGGCAGATGCGTCGCCATTCTCCTCGAGAAGGATTGTAGACCTTCACCACAGGGATGTCACATATGCAGTAAATTTCATCATTAAAAACACAGGCTTCTTGAAAGTCGCACCGTTTTAGAGATGCACAGTTAAGCCACTGGTTGCGAGCAGGATCATAGCATAGCATCCTTTTGTTGCTGACAGCGTACAAATGGTCATTGACCGTGACCAGCTCAAATGAGTAGAATGAGTGAGGTAGTGGGGCTACCAATGTCCACTGGTTTCTTTGCACGCTGTAGCATTCCACCTCTCTGATCTTGGCACCCGTAGATGGGTCACGACCACCAACAATATAGACATAGCCATTGAGGTAAGCAACGTCCATTCCTTCTCTACACAACAGTCTTTCCGCTAACAGCTGCCAGCTGTTCTGAACAGGACTATACACCCAAAGCTGCTTCATAGGTTGTGTGGCAAGGTACAAGTCATTCTCAGGTGACACACACACGGCAGAAGACGTTACAGCTTTACCATGAGCAAAAGTAGTGAGAGGAGAGGGCATTGTATATATGTCACCTGAGTAGGGATCGTAACACAAGAACGGCTCCTTTCGATGGCCAAAGAAAATGACCATCTCCTTAGCGAGCATGCCAATCCTACGCAGCGGACTGCCCTCCTGACAAGATAAGGCGGATATGGCAAACTTGCCATCTTTCTCCTGCAGCACGGCATCCAGGTACTGCAGGCAGTTTTTGCGCAGGCACGGCTTGGACCTTAGTCCTTCCAGAAAGACTTGGTCTTTGTCGGTGAAGTGCTGCCAGCGCACACAGCGTAGGATCTCCAGGAACCCACCAGACCTTTCCTTGGGGTTGGCCTCCATCCAGCGCAGGGCAGCACTGCACACCACCCTCTCACTGCACACGTCCAGGTTGTCCATGGTCAGCACCTCCTTGAGTTGGGCCAGGCTCAGCTCGCACAGCTCATCCCCCACCGCCAGCTGCTCGAAGTGGCGAGCCATGAAGGCCAGGGAGCGGGAGCGCAGCTCCGGGTGGTCGAAGGCATCGGCAAAGCGCAGGATGCTGGCGCAGTTGTGCAGGTCGAGGCGGCGGGCCAGGTACCCGGCGCAGGCCTGGCGCACGTACTCCAGCTGCAGCATGTCGGCGGCGGCGTACAGGCGCTGCACGTTGCTCTCGGTGACGGTGACGCGGCCGGTGTAGCAGTAGTCGATGATGAGGGCCATGGCCTCGGGGTCCATGTCGTGCAGGGTGACCTGCTGCTGCTTGCTCTCGTACAGGCCGCCCGTGAACATGCTCTTGAAGTAGGGGCAGGCGGCGGACAGCACGTTGCGGTTACAGTTGAAGCTGCGGCCGCTGTCGGGCCCCCCGCCCCCGGGCTCCGCCGGGCCCCCTCCTCCTCCCAGCACCCGGATGGTGACATCGCACAGCAGCCGGGCGTCGTAGAAGGCTTTGAGCTGGGCCAGCAGGGCCGCGGCGTGGGCCGGGTCCTCCAGGAGCTCCGGGCCGGAGAAGAAGCCTGAGACGGCGTAGCCGGACATGACGGGGACTGGCTGACAGCGAGAGAGCGGGGCTGGTAACGGAAGGCTTTCTGTCAGCGGCGATCCCACAACCCCCTGCTTCCTTCCGGCGAGCCAGGCGGAATGACGTCAACACGCAAACGTAATGTCCCTGGCGCGCGCTCCGGCGGCCATGTTTAGTGCTGGCGGCGGCCTGTTAGTAATCCAGTCACTGGGGGGTGTTGGGCACCGACACCAGAGAGGGAGCTCTGCCCACCCCGATCCGTTTAACTTAGTGACTATTAATCTGGCAGGAGGTGTCATATATAGCATCCACCAACATTACCATAACCACTGCAGGTCTATGGCCTGTGCTACGCGCAGTGCGTAATGCTGACAGGAGGGATAGGCATGGTTCATGTCCACCTGGCTGTAACAACCACGACATGTCTGCCGCTAAACAGTGAGCTGAAAGTGGCCGCTTACAGGTGTAAAAAAAAAACATCCCCCCACGCCTCTAATAAAGTGACCCTTAGTGTGGCACCTATAAAATTAATAACTGGGGAGACATAGTGTCCCCACCCCCACAGTGACCACATTTCGAAAATGCCATTCAACGACACTTCCTTTCCTCTTCTAGACCCCCTCTTCACACTGGTGAGCATGCGGCACCCGCCATTTTAGCGTAGCGTATGTTTTAGTGAGCTCAAAAGTGGCACCACCGCATCTTGGCTGAGGAGGAATGGGGACCAGGATCACCCCCACCGGTCCAGGGCGGCAGGGTAATGCAACAAGGGTCCAGCAGCTGGCTATCCGGGACGCGGCCATCTCTGGCGGTTAAGCAAGGAGCTCTGGCAGAGTGCGTCCTGCCGCCATGAACGTCAGGCCCCCCCATTCACATTTTGTGTGAGTGCCACTATGAAAGTAGCTAGAAAAAATGAGGTTCCCACCCTACCCCCCTTTTTACTGAACAACACACTCCCCCAAATCAGGATTTTTAATTTTTTTTTAGTAATATTTATTAAGGTTTTATCATATACAAATATAATAAGACAATCACAATAAGTTACTAGAGTAATAGTTCCAGAAGACTTAAAGGGACACTATAGTCACCTGAACAACTTTAGCTTAATGAAGCAGTTTTGGTGTATAGAACATGCCCCTGCAGCCTCACTGCTCAATCCTCTGCCATTTAGGAGTTAAATCCCTTTGTTTATGAACCCTAGTCACACCTCCCTGCATGTGACTTGCACAGCCTTCCATAAACACTTCCTGTAAAGAGAGCCCTATTTAGGCTTTCTTTATTGCAAGTTCTGTTTAATTAAGATTTTCTTATCCCCTGCTATGTTAATAGCTTGCTAGACCCTGCAAGAGCCTCCTGTATGTGATTAAAGTTCAATTTAGAGATTGAGATACAATTATTTAATGTAAATTACATCTGTTTGAAAGTGAAACCAGTTTTTTTTTTTTTTATGCGGGCTCTGTCAATCATAGCTAGAGGAGGTGTGGCTAGGGCTGCATAAATAGAAACAAAGTGATTTAACCCCTTGACGACCTATGACGGTTCAGGACCGTCATCAGAAACATCCCCTTGAGGACCGATGACGGTCCTGAACCATCATAACGTCTTGGGGTACTTACCTGATCGCCGGCGGCAATTAGCACTCCTCCTGGTCCAGGGGGACTGCCTGTCTGCCCGCAGCAGATCCGGCCCCCGCAGCCACGTGATCACTCATGGCCGCAATAGGTGCCTGTGTATCTGCCTGCAGGGGGACTGTCTGTGCTGACAGGCAGTCTCCCTGCAAGTGAAAAATCCTAAATAAAGTTTAAAAAAAAATCAATCAGTGTAAAAAAAATAAATTATATATATGATATATATACATGTATTATATCTATATATAATATATGTATATATATCATATATATAATGTCTTACTAAGTGTATTTTTATATTTATATATATACGTTTATTAATATAAAAATACACTTATATTTAAATTACACACGTATATATACAATATATATATAACTATATATATTGTATATTATAAATATGTTAATAAAAATAAATAACAAAAAGTAAAAATCATTTTTAATAATTAAAAAAAATTATATATATATATATATGTAATTTATTCTAACAGTATTTTGATATTAATATATATATTTATATCAAAATACACTTAGAATGTAATGATATATATAAATAAATAATACGAAATATACATATGTCCATATACATAATTATATAAATAATTTCATAAATATACACGTAGATGTCAAATATATAAATATGTATATATATATTAAAATTCTACGTGCCTATTTATGTAATATTTTTACCTAATTAAGTAATTTTAATGATTGCAATTTTAGGGACCTGCCTGCCAAACCAGGCCAAAAGTCCAGAGAATTTAATTTGCTAGCACTGTGTTTAACCCTGTAACTTTCTATGACACCCTAAAACCTGTACATGGGGGTACTGTTTTACTCGGGAGACTTCGCTGAACACAAATATTAGTGTTTCAAAACAGTAAAACATATCACAGCAATGATATTGTCAGTGAAAGTGAAGTTTTTTTTCATTTTTCACACACAAACGGCACTTTCACTGATGCTATTATTGCTGTGACACATTTTACTGTTCTGATTCACTAATATTTGTGTTCAGCGAAGTCTCCTGAGTATAACAGTACCCCACATGTAGAGGTTTTATAGTGTTTGTGAAAGTTACAGGGTCAAATATAAGGCTTGATTTTACTTTTTTATTTTTTTTTATTTGGCAGATTGGTCAGGTTGCCTTTGAGAGCGTATGGTAGCCCAGGAATGAGAATTACCCCCATGATGGCATACCATTTGCAAAAGAAGACAACCCAAGGTATTGCAAATGGGGTATGTTCAGCCTTTGTTTGTGACTAGGTGGCTACTAAAAAAGACTGGACATACCCCATATTGAATACCCTGGGTTGTCTACTTTAAAAAAATATGTACATGTGAGGTGTGATTCGGGGATTTATGACAGATAACGGTGTTACAATGTCACTATTGATAAATTTAAAATATATATATATATATTGAAACAGCAATTTCCTACTTTTTATAGGCCTATAGGCCCTTTTTATAGGTATTTATAGGCCTATAACTTGCAAAAAAAGGCAATAAAGCACGTAAACACTGGGTGTTTTTAAACTCGGGACAAAATTTTTAATATATTTAGCAGTTTTTTTCATTAGCTTTTGTAGATAAGTAAAAGATTTTTCAAGTAAAAGTCCAAAACCATGTATTTTTTTTCAATTTTTCACCATAATTTATTATTTTTTTTAAAATAAAATATATGACATGATACAAATAATGGTATGTAAAGAAAGCCCTTCTTATCCTGAAAAAAACAATATATAACTTGTATGGGAACTGTAAATGAGAGAGAGGAAAATTACAGCTAAACACAAACACTACAAAAGTGTCAAAACTGCTCTGGTCCTTAACATACAACATCGCAAAAACAGGCCAGTCCTTAAGGGGTTAACTCCTAAATGACAGTGAATTGAGCTGTGAAATTGCAGGGGAATGAGCTATACACTAAAACTGCTTTATTTAGCTAAAGTAATATAGGTGACTATAGTGTTCCTTTAAAAATGTGTTATAATATCTCTCATTTCAAAAACAAACATTCTTACAAAAACAGGCTTCAAACCACTAAAATTTGGAATTTAGGCCATTCTAGCTAAATTCCAAATCCTAATGGTTTGTAGCCTATTTTATATTTAAATTTTAATCCAAAAATGAATTTAAATGCAACTAGGGGTTTCTTAGCTAACATGTTCTATCTTATTAATAAGGTCTAAATACAGATGGTAGACTTTGTCTTTATTAATATTGTATTTAATACTCATTCTCCATCACTAATTAATATATTAATTGTAGATTAATTGACTATATTGTAGAGATAAAATAGATTTCCAGTGTCTGGCAATCAATATTCTAGCAGCCATTAAACAGTTTTTAGATTTATATGTCCACAGTTTTGATGCAAACGGGCAACTTCTGGTTTACTGGTCAGATGAATGTCCCCCAGAAAATATATAGTTTTGTACACTTCTTTCCAGAGTTGAGCAATATGGGAGCAACTCCACCAAATGTGAGCCACGGAGCCTCCATTTGGCCACATCGCCAACACAATGGTGAGTTCAATTTTTAAAAGTCTTTTCAGCACCAAGTACCATGTTTACATTATCTTTACATGAGTTTCTAATATGTTTAAGCAGTGAATACCCTTCTTTATGTTAAACAAACTGGTACGCAAATCTGTATCAGATATAGTTATATCTAATTCCATCTCCCATTGCTTTAAGGCTGGAGGGAGACCTAATTTAAAACTAGTGTTCAATATCGCCTTAGCACAACAATATATCCTTTTCACATTCTTACCGCAAAAAATATTTCTAGTGAGACTTTCAATTTCATTATATAACCTTAAAATATGGTCTTTCAAGAGGCTTTTAATTCATAGATAGTTAAAAATCCCTTGGTTGGGGATATCAAATTTTGGGCTAAATAACTAAAAGGTGAAATATCATAAAAGTAATTTATAGCTATATCTTCTGAACTTCAAGGCAAATAAGTACCCCTAACCAAGAGGATAGTGGGGGGTGGGGTTGGGGGGTGGGGATGGAACAAGAGTGTTATAACTCATAAGGAACACTATGGAGTTGACAGAACTATATCGGCAGGTACCTCACTTGGCCCTACGTTTGGTAACCTAGGAGGTAAAAACTGGAAGTGGAATACAATTGTAAAACATAATAATGCTTCCTTCCCCCTCCCTCCAATTTTTTTTTTTTTTTTTATAAAAAAGAAAACCAAATCTACGTTTCCGGGGCCTGTCCCATTCTAAGAGTAAAATTAGTCAAATTTGCTACATCCCAGGTGTGTGTTTTTTTTGCTTATGCATCCCTTGCCACAACTACCCTACCTGTGACTGACACAGTCTGCATGAAACCAAAATGGTTGTAACTTATTTAAAAGTTTTTATCTCCTGTTCTTTTAATTGAACTTTAATTACATATAGAAGGCTCCTATGAGGTCTAGCAAGCTATTAACAGAACAAGAAATGAGAAATTCTAAATTAAACAGAAGTGTAAACATTCAATGGCTTTTTACAGGAAGTGTTTAGGAAGGCTGTACAAGTCACATTAATGGAGGTGTTGTGATAAAGTGAAGGCAGATAGGCCTATAACATTTAACCCCAGGGGGAGTATGTGTAGGATGTGTTGTAGGCAACACAAAACATTGTTTAGTTATGGGCCCCTGGGGTGGAGCATTTGGAGAGAAGGGTGGGCCAATGCTCCACTCCACAGTTTAGTGGTGTTCTGGGGAGACCTAGATCCAGGCCAGGGTTTTTTGGACTGTCTCCAACCCACTGCTCAGCTGCAGGTAATCAGCTGTTGCAGTGGTAATAAACTCCTCCCGGCTAGGCAGGAAAAGGAGAGGGATTGCTGGCTTCCTCCCAGGAAGCAGGTAGGAGAGAGAGGCTGTTCTCTCCATATAGTCAAGAAGACTAGGCACTTGGAGTGCAGAAAGGAAGCAGTCAGGGCAAGACTGGCTTGGAGCACTGGGAGTGCAGAAAGGAAGCAGTCAGGGCAAGGCTGGCTTGGAGCACTGGGAGTGCAGAAAGCAAAGCAGTCAGGGCAAGGCTGGCTTGGAGCACTGGGAGTGCAGAAAGGAAAGCAACAGGTTAGATAGCAGAGCGTTGCTCTCTAATAAGGTTGGTGCAATATTGTGTTTAGTTTAACCCTGAGAGATAGGGAACTAAAGTCAGTTAGTGCTCAGACGAGCTAGGTGTTTGTTTATAGGGTTTTGTGTTATTTATGTTTTCATTTAACTGCTGTATCCTGTGTGAACTTACAAATAAAGTGCCTGGAGTATTTGCAACTACAAGGACTGTGCATGTTTTTACCCTAGAGGGCCGTGCTACCTGGTGACAAGGATCACAATATGTGTGAGAGAATGCGGGCACAGTAGCACATTGAGGGTCTGTGGGTGTGCCAGTCATTTGGTAGTCTGCTTGAGGACTTTTATTTTTGCAGACCTGTTACACAAACAAGTAGCACTGTACCTTTAAGACTGTTACCTGCTTGGTGCTATAATGGAGGACCTGCTGAGAGCTGTGGTACAGGCAACGGCTAAACAACAAGGCACAAACAGTTTCCTGGCTGCACAGGTTAAGAACCTGAGGGACGCTCAGCAGGAGCATAGAACTGCCCTTACTGAGGTTTTGCAGATTGCCCCCTGCAGGGAGCGTGGGGACAAGGGACCCTGTAACCAAGCTACTGACATCCTGCATGGGATGACAGAGGCAGTAGAAGAAGTCTTCAGCAAGCTGAAAAGCATGGAGGCAGCAAAGCGTGCTGTTGAGAAACACGCAGGAGAGAAAGAACAGGAATTAAAAGGCAAGAAGGATGAAATTGAGCCTGAAAGAAGTGATAAAATGGAAGAGGGTGAAAAGCCAGCTGGATCCTCAAAGGAACAAAAAGAAAAAAAGTTAGTAAAGAGTCCAGCAAAGCTAAAGGAAAAAGCGGAATTGCCAAGAGGCAGTGATGGCGACACTGATGACATGCGCCAAAGTAAGAAAGGTCAGAAGAATCAGAAAGGAGAAAAAAAGACTGTGGCTGAGGCCAGCAGTGTCAAGCCGGTTTGTGTACTAAAAAGTGAAGCAGAAGCCGCTGATGTTCACCCAAGTGAACAAGTTAAAGTCATGAAAAGCAGACTGACTTGGGGAGTCAGAGAAGACAACAGCAAAGGAGCTGAGCAAAATGAAGAGAAGCAAAGCACTCCAGTTGAGTATAACAATGTGGTGCGCTGTTTAGTAGCAGAGACACCTGGTATTGTTACAAAGAATTTGAATGATTGTCCGGGAGCCGTAGAACTAGATCTGCTGGCAAAGACTACTGCTACAAAGCCTGGGCGCACTGACTACCGGGAACAGCTGCCAGATTCTGGGAACACAGTCATGGAATTAAAGGCGGGACTCGGACTGCCTGACCAGCTGTTTGATACCAGGGCTGTAATGACCCAGCGAGAGGCCATGACTGCGTCTCTGGACAACCCCATAGGGAGCAAGGCAGGTTCCCAGGGATTCGCAGAACAGATGGAGGATGTTGTGGAGCCCTTCGCGGAGGGACTTGTTCCAGTGAAGGATGAGCTGGTGACAGAACCAGGTCTTGAAGAGGTTGAGCAACTGGAAAATTCAGCTCATGAAGGAATTGGACGTATAGCTACACGCCAAGCCTTTGCAAAGTTTGCTTTTGAAAGTTACTCTAACGTTGAGAGATTATCAAATCAGAAGCTGCTATGGATGTGGAAGCAGATGATGATTCAGAGGAACTTGGCTACTAAGGAGCCACACAGTACTGATCCTCAGCCTAGATCCGCTAGCAACCAGATAAGCGGGGAAACTGGAAAACAAGGACAAAGTCTGGGACAATATACCTATGATGGTAGAACGTACCTAAAAGTCCTATTTTGGCTACGAGACCAGACTGAGAAAAACCTCCGATGCTTCAACTGCCGCATGCATGGACATATTACATATAGCTGTCCTGAGAGTGAAGAGACAATACAATGTGACATAGTAATAAGGGCTCTGTATAGGATTGTATTGACTTGCTTAAAGATGTGTATGGTGACTGGTGGTGGTGTTACAGCACAGCTAAAAGTGGTGATGGTGGTAGGGAAGAGTGCACAAGCACTAATTAATCAAGGGAGCAAGGTAGCAGCCATCTACAATAGGCCACTTCCTGTAACTGAGAAGCTAGTCAGGGCTGGTAGAGCCCTAGGTGTTATGAATGTTCACGGTTTGTGTTCTAAGGCCGCTCGACCCGATGGGTCTGAGCTGGGGGGGAGGATATGTGATAAAGTGAAGGCAGATAGGCCTATAACATTTAACCCCAGGGGGAGTATGTGTAGGATGTGTTGTAGGCAACACAAAACATTGTTTAGTTATGGGCCCCTGGGGTGGAGCATTTGGAGAGAAGGGTGGGCCAATGCTCCACTCCACAGTTTAGTGGTGTTCTGGGGAGACCTAGATCCAGGCCAGGGTTTTTTGGACTGTCTCCAACCCACTGCTCAGCTGCAGGTAATCAGCTGTTGCAGTGGGAATAAACTCCTCCCGGCTAGGCAGGAAAAGGAGAGGGATTGCTGGCTTCCTCCCAGGAAGCAGGTAGGAGAGAGAGGCTGTTCTCTCCATATAGTCAAGAAGACTAGGCACTTGGAGTGCAGAAAGGAAGCAGTCAGGGCAAGACTGGCTTGGAGCACTGGGAGTGCAGAAAGGAAAGCAGTCAGGGCAAGGCTGGCTTGGAGCACTGGGAGTGCAGAAAGCAAAGCAGTCAGGGCAAGGCTGGCTTGGAGCACTGGGAGTGCAGAAAGGAAAGCAACAGGTTAGATAGCAGAGCGTTGCTCTCTAATAAGGTTGGTGCAATATTGTGTTTAGTTTAACCCTGAGAGATAGGGAACTAAAGTCAGTTAGTGCTCAGACGAGCTAGGTGTTTGTTTATAGGGTTTTGTGTTATTTATGTTTTCATTTAACTGCTGTATCCTGTGTGAACTTACAAATAAAGTGCCTGGAGTATTTGCAACTACAAGGACTGTGCATGTTTTTACCCTAGAGGGCCGTGCTACCTGGTGACAAGGATCACAGTGTGCCTGGGGCTGCATAGACAAAGTGATTTATCTCCTAAATGGCAATGAATTGAACAGTAAAACTGCTTCATAAACTAATGTTCTTTTGGTGTTCCATTTAAGGCTTGTAGTCAGGGCCGTCTTTAGCGCGGGGCAAACGGGGCAGCTGCCCCGGGCCCAGTTGCTCCTGGGGGGGCCCCAGAGCAGCTGCCCCGTGGGCCCCGCGATTTCAGCAGCCCCCATGTACCCTGAGGCCGGCGGTGCAGCCGCACCGGCCCGCCAACTAAAGAGGCCCCCGGGTGGCCCATGCACTAAGGGCCACCCTGTGGGCATGTGGCTGAAGGGGCCCGGTCGGGCGCTGTGATGCTTAAACAGCGCGACCGGGCCCCTTCATGTACCGGCTGGGAGGAAGTGAGTACCGCGTGTCACTTCCTCCCACCGGAGATAGCCGCGCGGGAGGAGGAAGGCAGGGAGGAGGGGAGTTCCAGAGAAGAACTCCAATCTGCCTCAGCCTGCCACTGGACCCCAGGGAAACCACCCTCCATAAAAAGGTAAGAAACTGGAGGGTGGCTAAATGTATGTCAGTATGTGTGTGTGTTAGTATGTCTGTGTGTGTGTGTTAGTATGTGTGTGTGTGTTAGTATGTCTGTGTGTGTGTTTTAGTATGTCTGTGTGTGTGTTTTAGTATGTGTTTGTGTTAGTATGTCTGTGTGTGTGTGTTAGTGTGTTAGTATGTGTTTGTGTGTTAGTATGTGTGTGTGTTAGTATGTCTGTCAGTATGTCTGTGTATGTATGTCAGTATGTCTGTGTGTGTCTATGACAGACATACTGACATACACACACAGACATACTGACACATACACACACACTGACATACATACACACACAGACATATACACACACAAACATACTGACATACACACACAGACATACTGACATACACACACAGACATGCTGACATACACAGACATACTGACATACACACACAGACATACTAACACACACAGACATACTGTGTGTATGTCTGTGTGTTTGTATGTCAGTATGTCTGTGTGTGTATGTCAGTATGTCTCACTGTGTTCCAGTGTGTGTGTGTGTGTGTGTCAGTATGTCTGTGTATGTCAATACGCCTGTCAGTGTATGTGTCTGTGTGAGTCTGTGTCAATATATCTGTCAGTGTATGTGTCTGTGAGTATGTATGTGTCTGTGTGTGTATCAGTATGTCTGAATGTGTGTCAATGTTTGCCAGCATATATTTTTGTGTCAGTGTATGTGTGTGTCAGTATGTATCTGCGAATGTTTTAATGTGTCTGTCTGTGTGTGTATGTGTCAGTATGTCTGTCAGTGTGATTGCGGGTTTGGCGTAATGGGGAGGGAGGGTGCAGTGACAGGGCCCAGGGGGCCCAAGAAAAGGCTTTGCCCGGGGTCCTATTCATATTATAGACGGCCCTGCTTGTAGTAGAATTAAGAAACCCTTTAGGAAGGCTAAAGGTGTAATCCTTGATATCCTGCCAAATTAGGACTTTAAGATATTTTCTCCTGAGGATTCTAATTTGTGCCATGCTTCTTGTTTTAAGTTAAAACATTGCAATTTATAAATATGATCTAGCATATTAAACAAATAAACTTATTTTAATAAAGGTATCATAACCCACCCTAATATCCTCTCTTTGCCAAAAGGAAATTTGTAAAGCTTGCCTGCAGCAAGTGCAGCCAGCTTTTATGAATAGTTAGAGGTAACATGTGATTTGATAGTATTTATCCTTCCCCTTCAAGAGATTGCATATGATCGCCAGTCTTTTATCAGTAAATCTTAAAATCTTCCTATTTACCTGTTACGAACACCCCTTTGCCTGGATGTTCACCACGGGCCCATGGAGGAGTGTGGAAGCTAGCCTCCTGCCCACTGACTATGGGCCATAGAAAAGGCTGGTAAAAAAAATTGGTTCATGGGATTTATTTGTACTGTTCGGGAACTGAACAAACTCACGAACTGCAGACCACCTCTGGGCTTGTTAACCCCTGGTAACCTCTCCTGACACTTCAATTATTGTGTGTTCTAATTGTGCGGCTGGGTGGCCGTCGTTTGTATGCACGAACACATGGGAACTGGGTTGGCAGCCATCTTGTTCGCGGGAATGCAGGCAGCAGTGTTTGGGCATCGATCGCATGGAACTAAAATCGGACACGGAAACTCCCAAACACCACTGAACTTTGACAAACGCCTGCTTTCTTCCTACACGTCAGGAGAGTGCCGTTCGGTAAGTTTGTTCACGTGAACCATACGAACAAACGCTACTAAATAGCCAGAGTGTGCGTTCGGTATTTCTTCCACATGGAACTCGCCAAGTTGACTGGCAAAAGCACAAAACGCCCTCGAACTGTTTTGGGCATAGGACCATGTGTGCGGCCGGTCAGAACTTTATCCTGATGGCGTTTGAGCTGTGTTTGATCTGAGTGCTTTTTGGATATGTTGGGCGCTCATATTCAGGATATCCGGGGGTGTGTAAACTACGGGGGTTCCTAGGTGGGAAATATGTAATTTTGTTTTTTCTCTAACTTGTAATTTTACGCTTAGTCATGGTGACATGGCATTTTTGGGACATTTTAAGGGTGTGTTAATGGGAGTGTCATGGGCGTGTTTTCTGTGTCCCTGTATTGTATAAAAGCAGGCCATTGAGCCTGGATTAAACAGATCATTTTACCCTTTCATTAAGTCTAGGCTAATGTATGGGGAATTGGGAGCTAGATTCACAACTAATCACTACTGCGCTTGGGACATTCTTCACGGATGTACTCAGTCGGAGTATAGGGGATCCGTTACATTACCTCCATTATTTTATTAGCGTTACCTGCTATGGTGATCCCAAGGTATTGAAAATCTTGTTTTGTTCATTGAAATTGATACTTTTTCTTTAGATCTTGTAGCTCATTTACACCTATATTTTTGGTCAGCACTTTGGCCTTTATTAATATTTAACTTATAATTTGATGTCTCACTGTATTTAGAAAATTATTTAATGAGTGCGGGCAATGAGATATGAGGATTAGTAAATGTCATAAGTACACTGTCCGCATATAGAGATATTTTTATATGATCCTCTCTAGTTGCGATGCCTTTAATAGTTGGTTATTTCTTTTTTACATTTTTAAATTTTTTTCTTTATATAATTTTTCTTTTTAAATCTACATACAGAAACTGACAGACGACGTAGAGATAAATTTACTCATACTTACCGTAATTTTCTTTTCCTGGTCATAGGCCATGGCAGCACAACAATGGGTAGCTCCTCCCCTATCCCTAGTTAGACAGGAACTAATTAAAATAAGGGTACAAATACCCCCTCCTACCTCCTCCTCCCTCAGTCTAGTTAACAGCAATATCCCTGGGTGGGACCTTTGTGCTGCCATGGCCTATGACCAGGAAAAGAAAATTACGGTAAGTATGAGTAAATTTATCTCTTTCCTGGCCATATCCATGGCAGCACAACAATGGGTAATACCCAAGCTAAAACCAAGGGAGGGAAAGAAAAACTCAGACACATTATTAAATAATGCAAGTGTATTGTCACAAACAATTCAATGTGATAAACAAAAAGAATAGTAGTTAGTCCTATGAGGCAGAAAGAACTGATCTGCCAAATCCATCGTATTGGCCAGCTCTTACATCTAAACGATAATGTCTAATAAATGTATTAGAAGATGACCAAGTGGCTGCTTTGCAAATCAGTTCTGTAGAAACCTTTGCTGCAGCTGCCCAGGATGAAGAAAGGGAACGTTGTAGAGTGAGCCTTCAAACCTTCAGGAACACTAGTTTTAGATGACCTATAAGATTGGATAATGGCCGAAACTATCCATCTGCTGATAGTGGCTTTCGAAGCTTGCAGACCCTTCCTAGGGCCATTAGGAATAACAAAGAGCCTTTCCGAAATGCGCCATTCTGAGGATCTCTGTATATATATCTTAAGGCATCTTACTAGGTCGATAGCATCATCATCAGCGTTTTCCCTGTTATTAGATTCTTCTGTACTTAATGCTGGAAGGATTATCTCTTCATTCATATGGAACTCTGAAGTCACCTTTGGGCGGAATTCTGGAACCGTTCTCAGGATGACTCTGTCCTTATGAAATATCATAAAAGGTTCTCGAGCTGAAAGAGCCTGGAGATCAGAAACCCTTCTACCAGAGGCTAGGGCTACTAGTAGAACTGTCTTGATCGTGAGAAGATGACAGGAAATTGATGTCATAGGTTCAAAAGGATCTGCTTTAAGAGCCTTCAGGACCAGAGGGAGATCCCATGGCGGAGTAATAGACTTAATGGGTGGCTTGATCTTGAGGACTGCAGTCAGAAATCTAGCTATGTCCGGATCCAGTGCCCATCTATGATTAGTTAAAGCAGAGAGGGCAGAAACATGCACTTTTAGAGTGTTATAACTTAATCCCTTCTCTAGACCTGATTGTAAAAAATCAAGAATGTCAGTAGTCGAAGGGTTCAACATATCAAAGGGCCTTGAACTGGCCCATGAAGAAAATACATCCCATATTCTGTAGTAAGTGGATGAAGTAGACTTCTTCCTTGCTTGAAGAAGTGTCTCGATAACTGATCTCGAAAATCCCTTGCTCTTTAACCCATCCCTTTCAAGTACCATGCCATCAGACGAAGGGATGCTGGGTTTGGATGGTGAATTGGACCCTGATGTAACAGGAATGGGACAACTGGAAGGCACCATGGATCCTTCTTGCACAGACTTAGTAGGAGCGGAAACCAAGGTCTGCGAGGCCAAAAAGGGGCTATTAGAATCAGTGATGTCTTCTCTTGTCGTAGTCTCCTTAGCAGAGGGAAGATGAGGGGTTTCGGAGGAAAGGCATAAGCTAGGTCGAAGTTCCAACTGCATGTCAATGCGTCTCTTCCTATGGCCTGAGGATCTGGAATTCTCGAAAAGAAGTTCTTGACTTTTCTGTTGTTGCTTGTAGTCATTAGATCTATCTGGGGAAGGCCCCATATTTCTACGATCTGTAGAAATATTATGTCTGATAGACTCCATTCTCCCGGGTCTAATCTCACCCTGCTGAGAAAGTCTGCCACAGAGTTCTGAGTTCCTGGGAGATGTATTGCAGAGATATTCTCCAAATTCATTTGAGCCCAGGCCATCAAAGGTTTCATAAGTTTTATCATTCTGCAACTTCTTGTCCCTCCTTGGTGATTTATATATGCCACAACTGTGGCATTGTCTGTCCTGATCTTGACCCATTTGTGAAGTAAAAGTTGCTGGAAGTGCATTAGAGCCTTGAAAACGGCCAGAAGTTCTAGAAGATTTGAAGGGGTGTCGGAGGTTGAAAATGCCCATTTCCCCTGAACATAGTTGTCTTGAAGGTGGGCTCCCCAGCCCCATTGACTGGCATCTGTGGTGATGATGATCCATGGAATGTTTCCTAAGGGATAACCTCTGAAGAGAGACTCTTTGTGGGTCCACCACTTCAGGGATTCTTGTACGTGAGGAGGGATCATTATAGGTTGAGACAGATTGCCCTTGAATTGAGAAAGGAAATTCCTTTGGAAAGGCCTCATTCTCCATTGAGCCCATCTTGTAAGTCCTATAGTGGAGGACATTGATCCCAGGAGGCTCATGATTTTCTCTGCTGAGGAAACACTGGATGCTAACATGTCTTTGACCTTTTCCCGAATTTTCATACCCCTTTCTGGGGATAGTTGGACGGACCCTTCTGCAGTATTGAATGCTGCTCCTAGATATATCATGTTCTGGGATGGTTTTAAGTTGCTTTTGGCGAAATTGATCTTCCATCCGTGTTGTTGAAGATACTGTATACATATCAGGCCGTGATCTTCTAATATTTCTCTGTTTTCTGCCAGAATCAAGATGTCGTCGAGGTAATGATACACTGCAATGCCTTTCTTCCTGAGTTCTGCGATGAGTACCACCAGAACTTTTGAGAAAGTACGTGGAGCAGTGCTTAGCCCAAAGGGGAGAGCACGGAACTGAAAATGCCCCTCTTCCACAGCGAATCTGAGGAATCTTTGATGCTGGGGTGCTATGGGAATATGGAAATACGCATCTGCCAGGTCTATTGACATGAGCCATTGATTTGGAAAAACTGCTTTTACGATGGATTGAAGAGACTCCATCTTGAATTTCCTTATGTTTAGGAACTTGTTTAGTCTGCTTAGGTCTAATATAGGTCTCCATCCCCCTGTGGATTTTCTGGTGAGAAAGATATGGGAGTAAAACCCGTATGTTTGCTGAGCTCTTGGAACTTGAACGATAACTCCATCGTCTTGAAGGGATGAGATAAACTTTTTTAGGGAATCTCTTTTTTCTACATCTCTTGGCCAGATAGTCTTCTGGAAGGAGCGAGGTGGCGGCCTTGTGGAGAATTCTATAAGATATCCTCTTTGTATGATATCCAGCACCCATCTGTCTTGAGTTGAATTTTTCCATATATTCTGGAAAAGTAGTAGACGGGCACCTACTCCTCCAGAATGGTAAGTGGGTTTGTCATAAAGGCTTCTTGTGAAATGAGGAACCTCTAGACTTTCCTCCTCTGTTGGATGAATGTCCACCTCTCCATGGAATAGACCTTCCATATTCTCTTCCCGGTTTATAAGATCTGGTATCGCGAAAAGAGGGGTACTCAGAGTATCTTCTGGCTCGAAAGGATCCACGGGTTTTCCGGTCTTGTGGAAGAAAAGCTTTTTTACCTTCTGCAGCTCTTTTGATGCACTCGTCTAGGTTTTTACCAAACAACATCTCACCATGAAAAGGAAGGGCACATAGACTAGACTTTGATGATGAATCTGCGGACCAGGATCTCAACCATAAAGCTCTTCTAGCTGAAATTGAAAGAGCCATGTTCCTTGCTAAGGCTTTCACCATGTCTACCGAAGATTCTGACGTAAAGTCAACGGCCAGTTTAATATCATTTAATCTTTCCAGAAGAGAAGATCTGTTTCTCCCATCTCTGATATCCTCTTCCAAGTTTTCGATCCAGATTTTCAAGGCCCTGGATACTGAAGTAAGAGCTATAGCAGGGTGAAAACCAGTCCCTGCTGCAACATAAGCCTTTGAGAGATGCAGATCCATCTTCTTGTCCATTGGGTGTCTAAATGAGCCTGCATCATCTACTGGTAATGTGGTATGTTTTGCAAGTCGAACTACTGCCGCATCAACCTTAGGGGCATTATCCCAATGGTATGAATCAGACTTGTCAAAAGGGTAGAGGCGAGAAATTCTGCCTTGTGCTGAAAGCTTCTTATCTGTATTAGACCATTCGTCTTTAATTAATTCCTTAATAGTATCATGCACTGGAAAGGTTGCTCTTTTCTTTCTCAAGTCTGAGAAATAACGATAAGAGGTTGACTGTTCTGCAACTGCCTCTCTTAAGCTCAAAGATTTACGGACTTTGTAAATGAGGTGGTCTATCTGAGCAGGTTCTAGAAAATCTGCAGGGGCCTGAGTTTCTTCTTCGTCTGAAGATAAGAAATTCCCCTGGTATGATTCCATATCCATGGATTCATCTGACGAATCATGATGTTGGTAATCCGAAGGTTCATGTAACCGGGGTCTTTTGTGACTTGCCCCTGCTTCTTTGATACCTTGAGCCACCGCTTGTTTTATGAATTGTACAAATTCCATGGAAGGATTAGATGTTCCAGCTGCTTCAGATAAACATTCTGCACATAACCGTTTGCCCTCCAGCGGTTTTTTATTACAAGCTTCGCATTGATTTTTCTTTGGAGATTTTCCTTTGGATGATCTCACTGTTTTCTTTCCCGTAGAACTATCATGATAGGGAAATATCTCATATTAGCACTCTTTTACTTTATGTATCCAGAAGAAAAATTAATGATATGATATGGCTTACCTATAACTCCTAGAGTGTGACCTATTTTTATATCCAGAAGATTCCGAATCAGAAGAAATTGATCTCCTTTTGTCTTTCTCCATTGTGGAGATGATTACGAAATAGTCTAGAAAAGTAATTTAATTAGTATAGAAAGAAAAGAAAATGGGAATGGAAAAAAAAAAATAATTATGTGTATATACCTTTAAGAAGTAAAACTTACCTTCAAATATTTCTTGCAAAGGAAATGCTATTCAAAGTAGAAAAATGTATGAAAACAGGACTTCTAGAGTCCTAATAAGAACCTCAGGTACACTCTATATACACTTTTGGCGCTTAAATAGGCGTGTGACGTCATATCTGACGTCACCGCCTATCCGCGCATGCTCAGAACGAGCGAATTCACCGCTCGCCAACTGCGCATGCGCGGCACCAACCCGGAAGCAACCTCATAGCAGGAGGCACCCTTGCTGCAGCCGGAACCCAGGCGCCGGCTTAGGCGCGCGCAAGGACATAGCGTGCACGCGAAACTGGCGTGCACGCGAAGCTAGTGTGCCCGTGAACGAGCGGGCACGCGCGAAAACGGCGCACATGCGCCCCAGGAGTTACAGGACGCCGGGAAGGCTAGTGCAAAAAGTTAAAGAAGAAAGGTACAAAGCAATCATAGGTAGGGGGGGGAACCCCACACATATGTAATTAACAGAATATATGCAGAAAGTATTTGTTTGGATGATCTCACTGTTTTCATACATACATGTGGGGTTTTGTACTTCAATGTAGAAATCCATCCAGAATAGAGTCTTCTCGCCACTTCCTGCTACCTCTTGGTCACTGCAGGGAATCAGAATTATTTGGCATTTATTTTCTCTTGCTACCCCTAGGGTCACTGCAAGTAGGACCCCCGGTCACTAAGGGGGTATCTTCAGGGGGACACCTTTGCACAGGGCCGGATACTGAAGCTTCCCAAGGAAGAGAGGCTGAACTTCCTTGGGGGTAGAAGGTAAAAACCCTCAGGTAAGCCATAAAAGAAAAGTGATTATAGTCCTAAAATAGACTAATTTGGTCCTACAGGGATAGGACAGGAACAAAAAGACTGAGGGAGGAGGAGGTAGGAGGGGGTATTTGTACCCTTATTTTAATTGGTTCCTGTCTAACTAGGGATAGGGGAGGAGCTACCCATTGTTGTGCTGCCATGGATATGGCCAGGAAACATGGTATAAACAACACTATAGAATTGAGTATATTGTTAACCAAATTTTCATAATACATGTGACCATTCTATATGAAAACATTTAACTTAAAACCATCACACACATAAACCACAAAACAACATAAATAATCAGATCACTGTACATATTTTGAAGTTTATATTTATATAATATTTCACCGATTAATAGTTTGGAAAAGGCTTATGAGGCAAAACCTATAAATGTGTGAAAACACATTTTAATAAGGAAATTGAAAGATAGGATACACGTTTTAAGAACATGAGATTATATTTTTTCTAAACACTAATCATATAGTTTTTGTTTCTTAAAGGAGTGCAGGGTGGAACTAGACAAATCTCTTTCCATTCGTAATTGGTATGTTAATCGGTCTGTCAAGAGTAATTGTATCAGTGTACGAGAGCAGCATGGGTGGCATTTTGTTGTGTGAGAAGATATAGTGAATGTGGTTAAACGATGTGTGGGTGATAAACACAGGAGATAGTCTTAAATATAAAGTGGGAGTGACAGATACCAAAATAAACGGAGATACATAAGATGTGCAGGAGACACAAAAGTGAGCAGAACATCATGGGACAGGACAGACACATCTGGATGGCTGCATTAATCATCAGTACTACACGAATCGTATTCAAGACTTCACTAATCAGTTAGACAGGGTAAGATGTCAACTAAATCTACACATGTAAAAAAAATCCAAAATGGTGCATTCACAATACCATACTAAATGAGTATCTTTTTTTTTTTATTATGTTTGAAGCAAATACTTATCTCTACTGTATTATTGCAGAGCAGCCTCTGCCATCATTGAGAGGCAGCAACAGCAAATCATACTAGTTCACCAAAATCCCTTTCTCTTACACACATTGCCAGCTATGCAGTAACCTCCTGCAGCTCCCTTATGCCTAGTTGATGCGGCACAATACTTACAATTTTTATACATATTACCTAGTGTCCAAAATTCATTTAAAAGAACCACCTGTTAGTGGCTTTGTTATTAATACTTAAGTGTATTTAGACCTTCTCCTGACCATTGATGACCCATTTTATGTTCATCAGATATGTGAGGCCTTTCTTTTCCTTATTTCAGATTGCTGGGTTTTCCTCATAATCTTTCTCTTGCATCTTTTCAGGGCAGGGAAAATTCCATGTATTCTATGGAAACTAAAAGGTGAGGTGAAGTATGTAAATGTGAAAAAAAAATCATCAATCGTCCATTGTATTCCAAGGAAAATGTGTGGATAGTGACGTTGCCCTGCTTCTCCTTTCCTCCTCTGTATAAAAGATTTAAAAAAATATACAAACAGAATAATCTAGTGTTGGATGATGTTGATAAAATGAAATTGCACTCACATGTTATGGAGTCTGTGTAGTGGTATAATCCCCACTCTGGGATACTGGTGAGCATAGATCCTCTCCATTTTGTAGTATGAAATAAAACCGAAATGGAAAAATGAATGTATATTGTGATATTAATTAGTGCAAATAACAGAGTAACAAAAATAGGTTTTGCTCAATCCAAACAACAAAGGTGGTATACTCACCATGAAGAAGCATGATATCCAAAAGGTAATAGAATGAAAGCAGGAGGGTGCAGAGTGTCTTTAATAAATTTGTTTTATTCTAATACACAATAAACTAAAAAACAATAAAATATACAGTAAAATGCAACACTAACACATTTTACCAAATATGGAATTATTGACGCTCCCTTATTCATACAAATCAGTGTCCTTTATGACTCCCAGAACCACATAGTATATGCTGTAAATGTATTCTTAGTCAATTCACCAGGTGTGGTATCCAGGATGTTCAGGATCCTATGGTGAACATATTTGAAATATTAGAGATGGTATACTGCTGTGAATTGGATATTCAAAACCAACCAATAAATATTTTTCATGGTTAATGTTGACCTGGTGGTTATTAGCATTGGTGTACAGTATCATCCTCCTGCTATTCTCTAGCAATCATGCTAGTAGAGGTCCACTTCTTTTTAATCAAGCCAGGAGATCATGTTGTGGTGTACAATTAATCTCATTTAAAAATGAGTTTTTCAAAGCTACAAAATAATTCATAAAACACACTAACCACATAATTATATACACTATTTACAATAAACTAATCAAAGATGCAAAAGAGAAACCTTCATTCAGACCATTTGGTTTAAGAGTTGTAGATGCATAACCTTTCCTATTGGTGAAGTCATAAATCCCAGTCTCCTTTCATAGGAAATGATGGAGTTTTAGGTGTCTAGAGACATGCGTGTCTCTGTTACTCCTAACAGAATGTACATGTTCCATTATTCAGACTTTAAGTTCACAGAAGGTCCTACTGACATACTTAATACTACAGAAGCTTGTTAGCAGATAGACTACCACTGTGGTGTTACAATTCATAAATGACTTTGATTGGAATGTACATGAATTAAAACTATCAGCCTAGGTTTTAGTTGTTCTTTCAAATATATTTGCAGGTCATACAATGAATGCATTAACATGTGTTAACAGGAGGATTAAGCAGCCATGTTCTCATATGTGGTATAGGTTTAAGATGACTAGGTTCCAACATATTTGCCAGAAACACCCATGTCTGGGCGTTAGATAGTGTAGGGGTAATGACTTATGACAGTTGTGAATCTTCTGTCAGCAATGGCCAATACCTATCCCTATTCAGTACCTGCTTGGCAGAAAGCCATCCTGCATCAAAAGCGCCAATCATCTTGATCAGTCCTAATTTAAGTGCAACTTTGTGTATCCATTAGTAGGGGTAATGCATGGTTTTTAGGTGGGTCTTCATATAATATATATCTCTGTCCTGCAACTTAGTTACCTCTTACCTTCTTCTCTTTGTCCATGTGTTTTCTGTCTTACACTAATACCAACCCTTAAAACAAAAAATATCTTTCCTCTTTTTATCTTAGAGAGTAAAACTGTCAAGTTCAGCAGAGGGAATCTTAATATACATGGGTTTATATGTTTTTATTTTGTTCACACATTTTATTGATAAAAAGCTTTAAGCATTTGTATCATTTGTACATTTCCCTTCCCTCCTCCCCCTCCCTTTCTGATCTGGTGGTGTGTTGGATAGGAATTTGGTAATTATTGTAAAATTTTACTACAGCACAGTCTGCTCATTGTAACCAGTTTAGTAACCGTTCCACACAAATGGTTATTGAGCAAAACAAAGTCACCTTGTCGCTCATTGGCTAAACTTAAAAATGATCAAGGCCACTCTACCAGATGTTGTTTATCATGCAATTCACGCTGTTGGGTTCAACAAGGCTGTAAGTTCCTTAGGGACAGTAGGATGAACAGATGTATTGCTTCAAGCTTGAGAACAGCTTGTGTATATCATCTAATAAACTTCGATGAATCCTTTTCTATAACTTCAAGAAGGGCCTCGATGTCAGCAGATTCTTGTAACTTGTATATTAAATCATCTAAAAGGCTCTCCCCGCTGAGAAATTCCTGCAAGAGTAAACCAAAGAATATTGCGGTGATCATATAAACTATGAGGCAAGCTTTCAATGCCATACCGAGTATCATACTATTGAGATCACCCAGGATGAACTAGACTTCTATAATTAAATCTCCTCTAGACAAGATAGTTTGCCATGTCCAACATGGGTTCAGTAGCAGACCTCAAAAACGGTAACTACATTTTTCTCACCTCTTCCATGGAAATCATTTAGTTTAAGAATCTCATTATACCTTTAACACCCTTAAGGGGTATTTCACTGTCAAAACACAAATATATCACAGTTTAGTAGAATACCCCAATAAAAACCTGCATGCATTTAACTACCGTATTTTCCGGCGTATAAGACGACTTTTTAACCCAGGAAAATCTTTTCAAAAGTATGGGGTCGTCTTATACGCCGGGTGTCATCTTATAGGGCGGGTCTAGGGAGCCATATAGGAGGGGGCACCCTGCGCCCCCATTGCCGGCCCTTCTAATGCTGAAGCCGCCCGAGCGCTCTATAGTGAGCCTCAGGCGGCTGCAGCACTGCCACTCTCCTCACCTCCCCTGTAGCGTGGCCGAGCTCCTTTCCGGTCCGTGGTGCCCGGCCGGATTGACTGGAAGGGCACACTTAGTGTGCACTTCCTGTCAGTCCGGCCGGGTACAGGAAACAAAAGCTCCTGTACCACGGACCGGAGAGGAGCTCGGCAACTCTACAGGGGAGGTGAGGAGAACAAATGGGGGAATAAGGAGACTACGGGGAGATAAGGAGAATACAGAGGGGGGAATAAGGAGAATACAGGGGGGGGAATAAGGAAAATACATAGGGGAATAAGGAGAATACAGAGGGGGGGGAATAAGGAAATACAGAGGGGGGAATACATAAACAGAGGGGGGGAATAAGGAGAATACAGAGGGGGAATAAGGAGAATACAGAGGGGGGAATAAGGACAAATAGGGGGGGTGATAAGGAGAATACAGGGGAACACAGGAGAATACAGAGGGGGGGGAAATAAGGAGAATACAGGGGGGAATAAGGAGAATACAGGGGGAATAAGGAGAATACAGGGGAATAAGAAGAATAATGGGGAATAAGGAGAATACAGGGGGAAATAAGGAGAATACAGAGGGGGAATAAGGAGAATACAGACACAGAGGGGGGAATAAGGAGAAGGAGGGGAATGTAAGGAGAATACAGAGGGGGGAATAAGGAGAATACAGAGGGGGAGTAAAGAGAACACGGGGGGGGGAGTAAAGAGAACACAGGGAGGGGGGAGAAGTAAGGAGACCACAGGGAGAGGGGGGGTGAGTAAGGAGGATTCAATGTTTTTTTTTTACATGGTGTGCGTTGGAGGAGGGGTAGACTTATAAGGTGAGTATATCCCAAACTCTATATTTTAACTGGAAAAGTTGTGGGTCGTCATATATGCCGGAAAATACGGTAGTCATTTAGTCATTGGAGGTAAATCTAACATCTTGCAAAAGCTGCAGATCTCGTCTGAAGCATTTGAAAGCCCTCTCCTAACCCGCCCCCAGACTTTCTGCAGCTGTTCAATTACAGACAACCTAATGCTGCTCAATAAGAGGTTTTTGCAAAGCAGGTACTCCTAGCAATTGCCTGCCTCTTGAGTTTAGCTCCACTGAGCTAACCAAACCAGGAAGTAACAAGATGGTTTGTCTGATGGTTAGTTTATAATTGAAATCTGCAATGTTTATAAAAGGAAACAAGAAGATGACACACTCTTCACACATAATTCACTTCAGCAAGCTGAAGAAATGCTTTAGGGGTCTGGTCTGTCCCTTTAAAGATGCATTACTGAATTATTCCATCATGGATGTCCTTCACTTAAGGCCCCATGACGGGATAATTCTGTCATGTGCTATTTTACCAGCAGGGTAACAGTCATTTGATAATTGGAGCTCCTCTTTCTCAGCTGGAGCCAATATTAGGGGCCCTGTGCTGACCGATGAGCTGTATGCAGCCCTTTCAGTGGGAATTTAAAAATTACCCACTGCTACAACTTGGAGACTGATGGATGAGCTGTATTCAGCATTAAGAGTGAGCATGGCACACAGCTCTTAAAATGGGTATATAAATGCCTGTAGCAGCAACTTTGTGTGAGTATTGTAACGGGACTGCAATATTAAGTCCCCAGATCTCCGCTGGTATAGAAGGTAATATCCCAAATCCCCCAGTAACCAGATGAAACACCGTTCAGGGAGTCAACTGAACTTTAATCTCGGCTCCAGGAATTAACTGCCAACTGTCAACTTTTTAAAAATGTTCTGCAATGCATTACACACACATACCCTTGGTTCTTAAAGTGGTACATACATATTGAACCGAACGGATACAAGCATTTAAACAGCAGGGAGAAGGTTTAACTCAGGGCCCACAGGCAAATACATGAAAAATCCTTCACAATGGCCCCCCTTTTTCTCCCTGCTCCGGCAACTCGGTTGGACCTTTCCTGGTCCAATAGGGTTGACGGGACTTTCCAAAGTTTTTAATCTGAGGCCAAGTCCGTTTGGCGCGACAGTCCATCAGCATTCTCGTTTTGCTTGCCTGGGCGATAATGAATAGTAAAGTCATAGGGCTGTAACGCCAGGCTCCAGCGCAGCAAACGGGCATTATCCCCTGAGACCCGGTTGAGCCAAACTAGGGGATTGTGATCCGTAATGAGGGTGAAGGCCCGGCCATAGAGATAGGGTGTGAGCTTTTTGAGTGCCCATACCAAGGCCAAACACTCCTTCTCAATGGTGGCATAACTGACCTCCCTTGGCAACAACTTCCGACTCAGGTATGCCACCGGGTGCTCTCCCCCATCCTCTCCGATCTGGCTTAGTACTGCCCCCAGTCCAAACATTGAAGCGTCTGTGTGGACAATAAACCTTTTGTTAGGATCTGGGGTAACCAACACTGGAGCATTAACGAGAGCATTCTTTAGTGCTTGGAAAGCCACCTCGCATTCCGGGGACCACAGGACTTGTCGGGGTAACTTCTTTTTGGTCAGGTCGGTCAGGGGTTTGGCTAGGGCGCTATAGTCGGGTACAAAGCGTCTGTAATAGCCGGCTGTGCCCAAGAAAGCCATGACTTGTGTCTTGGTTTGGGGAGTGGGCCAATTGGCAACGGCCTCGATCTTAGCCGGCTCCGGCCGTTGCTTACCACATCCTACTCGGTGTCCCAAATATTGTACCTCCGCCATACCCAAATGACATTTGTCTGGTTTCAGGGTCAGCCCGGCCCCCTTTATCCTATCTAATACTACCCCTACGTGTTCTAGGTGCGCTTCCCAGGTATCGCTATAGATGGCGATGTCATCCAGGTAGGCGCATGCGTAGTCCTGGAGACCTCCCAGTAATTGGTCCACCATCCGTTGGAAGGTGGCCGGGGCGTTCTTCATCCCGAATGGCATAACCCGGAATTGGTATAGGCCGAACGGGGTGATGAAGGCAGACTTGGGTATGGCATCTTCTGCTAGGGGAATCTGCCAATATCCCTTACATAGGTCAATTGTGGTCAGATACTTCCCTGCAGAGATACGGTCAAGCAGTTCGTCCATCCGTGGCATTGGATAGGCGTCAGAAACTGTTTTGTCGTTGAGTCGCCGGTAATCCACACAGAAGCGGGTTGTCCCGTCCTTCTTTGGTACTAGGACTACCGGCGAGGCCCAAGGACTTTCTGAGTGTTCTATTACCCCTAGCCGAAGCATCTCATCGATTTCCTTCCGCATCCCTTCTCGGACTGCTTCCGGAATACGGTAAGGGAGCTGCCTCAGGGGTGCTTGCCCTGGAGTTTCCACCTTGTGGACGGCTAGGAGTGTGTACCCAGGCTCCTGAGAGAATGTGGCCTGTTTGGTTTCTAGCAAGCGGACAGCTTGAGCCCTCTCTTGTGGTCCCAGTTGTTCGCCTAGCTGGACTTTCTCTATCTGGGTCCTCCCTTCGTTGCTGCCCAATAGGTCGGGAAGAGGTAGTGTCTCTGTGTCTTCCCCTGCTGGTGCACAGATAGCGGTCACTTCCTCTGCCCGTTCCTGATAGGCCTTAAGCATGTTGATGTGAAAGGTTCGCTTCACATCCTCATCCTCGCAGCTAGCTATGGTGTAGGTGGTGTCGCATATCTGCCCTATAACTTTGTAGGGGCCCTGCCAGGCGGCCTGGAGCTTGTCTGTTCGGACCGGTCTTAGCACCATGACTTTTTGGCCGATCTGAAAGCTCCGGTGCCTAGCCCGTCGGTCATACCATACCCTCTGACGCTGCTGGGCCGCCTGGAGGTTTCCCTGCACCGCCTGGGCTAGTTCCTCCATGCGGTCCCGCAGTTCCAGCACATAAGGTACAACCGGGGTCCCCTCAATCTCCGTCTGCCCCTCCCAGTGGTCCTTGATAAGATCTAAAGGCCCCCTCACCCGCCTCCCATATAGGAGTTCGAAGGGTGAGAATCCGGTTGATTCCTGCGGCACCTCTCGGTAGGCAAAGAGAAGGTGTGGCAGGAACCGCTCCCAATCCTTGTACGCCCCCGTGAACGACTTCAACATTTGCTTTAGCGTCCCGTTGAAGCGTTCACACAGGCCATTAGTCTGGGGGTGGTATGGGGAACTAGTCAGGGATTTAACTCCACAGACTTTCCATATCTGCTGGGTTACCTCGGCCGTGAACTGTGTACCTTGGTCGGACAGTACCTCCTTGGGAAAGCCCACTCGGGAGAATATCCGGACTAGTGCATCTGCCACCGTCTCAGCCTGTATGTTAGAAAGGGCCACCGCTTCAGGGTAACGGGTGGCGTAATCTACCACTGTGAGGATATAACGTTTGCCGGAGCGGCTAGGTTGGGCCAAGGGTCCTATGATGTCCACGGCTACCCTCGTGAACGGTTCTTCAATTATGGGCATGGAGACCAGTTTAGCCTTTGGGTGGTCTCCCTTCTTACCTATGCGTTGACATATCTCGCACGTCTGGCAATACGCCCGGACGTCATCGGATACCCCAGGCCAGAAAAAGTTCTGGGTTACCCGATATCCCGTCCTGCGTATTCCCAAGTGTCCTGCCAGAGGAACGTCGTGCCCAATTCTCAATAACTCCCGCCGGTATTTCCGTGGAACTACCAGCTGGCGTTTTTGCCTAGGCCCAGGTGCGTTAACCCGTGTCTCGGTGAGCCTGTACAAGCGGCCTTTTTCCCAGATAAACTGTTCCTTCTCTAACCCCCCCGTTCCCCGCCTGGCCTTCTCTCGATACTTTCTGAGGGAAGGGTCTCCGGTCACCTCCCGCCCAAAGTCTTCTGGGGTGTCCCAGGGAAGGGGTTCTATAGTCAGGGGTAGGTCGGGTTGGCTTACCTGGGTCTCAGTAGGAAGCGGATGGCTCTCGGCAGCGCGACTTTGTGCTCTGGTGGTTACTGCGTGGGCCTCCTGAGCGGTGGTTGAGGCGAACGCCGAAGTCAGGGGCCCAATGTCATTGCCCAACACGACTTCAGAGGGTAAGTCTTTCATTACGCCCACTTGAACATTGCCAGCTCCCGCACCCCAGTCCAGGTGTACTTGTGCGGTAGGAATGCGATACACTGCCCCCCCTGCCACTCTCACAGCAATTGATTTCCCCGGCTTCTCCGATGCGTTAATGAGATGTCGTTGTACTAGCGTGATGGTTGCACCACTGTCTCTTAATCCCCGTGCTGTCTTGCCGTTAACCATGACCAGTTGGCAATGGTGTTTCCGATTGTCTGTGACGGTGGATTGCACCATGAGGGCTTCGTAAAGGGTGCCCAATGGTTCTTCCTGACCCAGCTCCTTGGGATCCCAAGTCGAATCTACACAATGGGCTGCTGCTGGTGGTTGCTGGTACCCAGGTCGAGACCAATTTGACCTGGTGTGGTTGTTCATGGGGCAATTCTGTCGGATGTGACCCAGCTGTCGGCACCGGAAGCAACGTAGCTCGCTGACATCCTGTCGTGGGTAGCGAGAGTTAGAAGTCACCGGTCGGTTAGGGGGTTGGTATCGGGCTGCTGGTGGGTGTGATGGCACTGAAGGTTTTGGAGGTTGTACCCGTGGTGCAACTTGGTTAATTTTGCGAGTATCCGCATACTCATCCGCCAACTTGGCGGCCTCTGGTAGAGACAGGGGCCTGCGGTCTCTCACCCAGTCTTTGACATCCGCCTGGATATGGTTGTAAAACTGTTCCAGGAGTATCAGTTGCAAAATCTCCTCCGCGGTGGCCGCCTGGCTACTGTTAACCCAGTTCGAGGCCGACAGGGATAACTGGCATGCCCATTCCACGTAGGAATCTTTAACGGTTTTGCGTGAGTCCCTGAACTTCTGTCGGTAGGACTCTGGGGTTACTGCATAACGGGCCAGGAGTGCTTCTTTAACCCTGGCGTAGCTGTGGATCTCCTGTTCTGGTACAGCCCGGAAAGCATCAGAGGCTTTGCCTGACAGCTTTCCTGACAATATTGAAACCCATTCTTCCTTAGCTATCCGGTGCAGGTTACATTGCCGCTCAAAATCTGCTAAATAGTTATCAATCTCACAGTCTTTTTCGTCAAAAGCTTTAAAAGCGCTGAACGGAATTTTCTTTGTATCCGCTGTGTTGTACTCACTGTTTGGGAAGTGTGCTGCTGCCTGCTGGACTGCTGCCAGTTTTAATTGTAGCTCTGCGTCTCTTTTTTGTTTAGCCTCCTCCGCTAAAAGGCTCATTACTTTCAGAATAATGTCAGCCGTTGGGTTTGGACCGAACCATGCTAGCTTCTCCCTCATTTCTTTGTTGGCTGGTGATTCCTCCTCCTGAATCACTGGTGTCTCCATCTCTTGTACAGCTGGCATTGCTGCAACCAAGTTCTCTCGGTCTAGCTCCATTAACTCTGCTATAATGACCTGCTTGGTTTTGTTGCTAGCAATCCTTCCACGAGCTTCCAGTAGCTCTTTCAGTGTATTTCTTTTAAGCAGGGTGTACCAGCCTTCCATTCACTGTTGCCAGTGTCTGCTTGGAATCCTGGTGTAACGGAAGTAGAAGGGAAAATCCCGCCGCTGCCAACCAGTTGTAACGGGACTGCAATATTAAGTCCCCAGATCTCCGCTGGTATAGAAGGTAATATCCCAAATCCCCCAGTAACCAGATGAAACACCGTTCAGGGAGTCAACTGAACTTTAATCTCGGCTCCAGGAATTAACTGCCAACTGTCAACTTTTTAAAAATGTTCTGCAATGCATTACACACACATACCCTTGGTTCTTAAAGTGGTACATACATATTGAACCGAACGGATACAAGCATTTAAACAGCAGGGAGAAGGTTTAACTCAGGGCCCACAGGCAAATACATGAAAAATCCTTCACAAGTATGGTTAACATTCTTATTAAACCTCCATTCATACAGATTCATGAGGATAAAGCAGTATGTATTTTATATTTCATAGTTCAGATTCATATAGGATGTAGAAGTTGGATTATATAAATATATCCTTTGCTAATTACAGTATGTGAATACACACACACACATACAAGTAAGCACGCGCTCTCCTATACAGTAAGTCTGCATGTATCAGAATTTTTATATCACCATTTACTATGGGAGAATGTGTATATGACCGTATTATGTAGGAATGTATGTTCGTCTATAAGGTGGATATGACGGAGACGGGAATTGTGTAGTTTAAAGGACTGCTGTTGGTATACGCAGTAGACCATATGTGCTGCAGAATAGGTTATTGCTGTATAGATGCGAATAATAATAAATATTTAATTTGTACTGGTGGCTGCTGCAGGTATGTACAGTAGGGGCAGTAATTTATACTAACAGCATTATGTACTAAACTCCTCGTTTTCATGAATTACATATGAATGGTAAAAAAGGAGGCAAAAATAGCCACTTTGTGACTATGGCTGAGTTGGATAATTTTTCCAGATTAGTTATTTTTATCCTTGTACTACCAAATTGAATTTAAATCTTGAAAATTCAAATCTTGAGTTTAGTGAATACCCTGTAAGAGATTCATATTATAAATGACAAAGGACCCACACAGAGAAGGTCAGTGTATAAAAACGCCACACTTGAAACAATGGGAGACAGAGACAGGCAAAAGAGATGGAGTGGGGTGGGACATTCCGTGCAAAATTTACATCTGCAAAAAAGAACTTTAAATTAGTAACTATTAGCAAAGTGGCAGGCTTACCCCTGGATCTGTTAGTATATTATATGATTTGCTTGTTATGCAAGGAAAACACATAACAGACTATACATTTTCCTGGTATATACCTTTATATTGCGCACTTCATAGGATATCCTGTGATCAGTCACTCTGTCCTGAGTGAAATTGTACGTACGAATTCTATCAGACTGAGCTCTGGTTCCTACCTGTAACCAAAACATCATATGCTGTAAACCAAACATACTTTCAATCAATATGATTATCTTCTTAAATACTCCGCTATTTTATGTTTATCAGGAATCTGAGCAAATTGGTGGCTCTTTTTAGCATAAAATGAGTTTGCTGGTGTTTCCCACATTGTTTGTTCTGTTTTTTTGGGGCTATTGGAAACAACTGCATCATTAGTTGCATATTTTTAAACGTTAGTGACACAAAGCTTCCACAACAACCTCAAGCGTGTAATAGGTGGAAGAAGGGCAGGTATTAATGTCCTGGCTGGCTCCCCATCTCTCTATTTCTTGCTTTATTCCCCAAATGCCATTATACAGGCCGGACTAATGGTCTAGCCTTCACACGCTGAGAACAGACAAAAGCTGAATAACTTCAAACAAGTGTTCCCTTACTTCTCCCATGAACAACATTAAAATAATACACTATATATTACTCCAAGTTCTCTCAACCACTTTGACAACTTATTACAAAGTATGTTTTGAACCTGCAATTTTCTAGCACTTTGCCTCTGAGATAATTCATTTTCTACGGTTTGTTGATGCAGTTTCGCTTTCAGCATTTTCATTGCCTTGTCCTTATTTGAAATCTGGGAGCGTTCTTGCTGGCACTCCACTGCAATACCTACATAAATCCAGAGGGTACAGCTGTAATTATGTATACGTTCTAGAGCAGTATAAAGTCAAGTAATTTTTTCTCCCACTCAAACAATGAAAATCCATTTTCTTCATAAAATGTAACATCCACAAACATACAATGATTTAGCAGAACATTCACACTAACAGAAATACAGATTATTCAACTGAAGATGAGAAAACCCCGAAAGGGTTACTCCAACCACCATGACCACTTCACTTCAGTGATTTCAAGTGGTCATGCTAGTAGGAGTCTTTAAGAAGCAATTGATTGGACACACTAGGGCAGGCATAGGCAACCTTCGGCACTCCAGATGTTTTGGATTACAACTTCCATTATGCTTTGCCAGCATTATGAGTGTAACAGCATTATGGGGGATGTAGTCCACAACCTCTGGAAAGCCAAAGGTTTCCTACCCCTGCGCTAGGGCAAAGATGACAATTAATTAACAAGTAATGCCAATAGGGCATGGTAATTATATATATATATATATATATATATATATATATAAAAAAAAATAAAAAGATTAAAAACTCAATGAATATTTTGTTAATTACTATATTTACTGCTAGTGAAATCATCAGCTTCTGCTATCACATCTTGTCATTTCTCAAGGGAACAGGTAACTTCTTGTATTATGCACACTATTGCGCACCTGAGATCATCTATGAATTCTAACGTTTTGTAGGATCTCTTTCATTTTATAACAAAGCGTATCAATGTAGATTGATGAAATATGAAGTAAAGAGATTGGGACTACCATTATATATCTGCACATGTTCTCCATTAGAGACATGTCTATCTATTGGCTCTACTTTTGTTAGTACAAATCAACATATCTTATATTGTATGGTGTTCATTACCCATAAACTATTGCTTTTCTGTTATGTTTTATCTCACCATTGAAGTAGATAAGAAGAGAAGAAAAAGGAATTTGTGTGCTCCACTTTATGTTTACTTATTCACACCATTATCTAATGGAATGTTTGTAGTTGCCACCACTAACTTGACATCAAGTACATATGACTTATCACCTATCACCCAATGACTGATTTTTGATAATTTACAGACAGTTTTATTTTTAAACACTTCCAACATTAAAGCTTTTATAAAGAAGCATGTTAATTTTTGCCTTATGGTTTTAACCTGTAGGTAAGTGCACAACTCTCACAGCGCTGTCAGTTGTATTGACATGCTGTCCCCCCGCTCCTTTGGCTCTGAACGTATCGATGCGCAGGTCCCTCGGATTAATTTTTATATCTACCTGCAAACAAAGTAGAAACATTAAATGCTGATAAGCTACCACGTCCTACATTTGTAACAAGGTTGTCTGTGTGCATCAATGTAAATTTAAAAAAATGATAAAGTGCACTCACAGGGATTTACGGTGGAATAACCCAATTTAATGTGAATAAATGTTGTATACTTTAAATTATATCAGATTAACTTTTTTTTAAATCACTGTGTCGATAAAATAACAACCTAAATATAGAAAAAAAGTAAACAATACAGTGCTAGAACTCACCAGTATACATAATTTAGTCACTTTACATTTGGGGGGATGGAGAGTTAGAGAGGCACAGAGGGAGAAAGAGAACCAAGAGCAGGAAATTCTCAGAACAGAAATGGGCTCCACCAGTTTAGGGATTCTCATTCTGATCTATGGGGTAAAGCAGGGGGTTATCAGACATATCGTTTAATCCTTGACCGCAGGTGTTCCACTCATCAAAGAGGATGATTGTAGCTGCAAAAACATTCTAATGGTGCCCCCATTAATTAACAAACATATTGTGAACGGAGCTATGCATAGAGTGCACTACAAACTAGCAACTGTGCATGCAAGCTACTGCAGCTTAGGCTCTTGATCAGAGTTAGTGAGGGGAAGTGGTAACTTGAATGAGGAGCATGATGTACGAGCACAAGAAGAGCTTTCTCCTGTGAGGAATAGGACAGGCATATAGCTGCAGCATGTGCTTTATATTACCAAAAGGTGTGAGGGGAGACAAAGGGCCTTCCATTTACTTGAACTTATACGATGAGCATATGGTTTTATGGTACTATGGTACAAAAATATATAAAGCATCACAAAAACTGGTAGGTAGAAAATATTCAATACCTACTTTCTTTCACAAACATAATGTGGACCATGGGCAACAAGAAGTATAGTGACTAGTGCCTCTAGGAAATGCCTAAATAAATATAAATATGTTGTGTCTGGGCTTTACATATAAATCTTACTAAAATAGTGTTAACTATTGCAGTTCCAGCTATCTCCCTCTCTCTAGTCTACTGTTTCACTTCCCTGAAAGTAATGTCACATTGTCAGATGGGAAATGCTTACAGTGCGTAGCTGGATGTGTGAAGAGGCAGACCTGGATTGGAGCAGTGAAAGGATTAGAGAGCGTTGTCAACATTGTGAGGTTTTAATCCCTTATTTATTCCATACATAGTGGCCCCAGACTGACCGATGAGCTGTAAGCGGCACTTAAAAATGAGTGCTGCATACAGCTCTTTAAATTAGATTTAAATACTCTTGGCTGAGCAATTATACTCAGCCTCGTTGATTCTCAAACTGCATGCTGTCCGAGAGGGTCTCCCTGCTGGTAGTGGTCAGTGCTGGGCTGTGCCAGCTGCCCAGGGCTGATCAGAGTGATAGGCAGACACAACATGCCTCTACTGCAGCATGAGAGGGAGATCTCCCTCTTATACTGCAAACAGCCAGTAGATGGCATTCAGAGACCACTCTGTACTGTTTTAGTTTGGAAATCACTTTGCGGATATCAGCACTGACATTAGCAGAGGGAATCCCTTAGGGTTAGGATATGGTACAGGTTAATGTAGGCCTAGGGTTAGTGTCGTGTTAAAGTTAGGTTAAAGCATAAGCATAGGTATAGGGTACTTTTGTGGTTAACGTGTGTGGAAGGGTTGGTATATAGTTAATGTTAGCTACTAAAAATGTATTTAGATCCTAAACATATGAGGCATGCAACAATTAGGACTGATACATGGATATATTTTGAGTTTGTATTTTTCTTTAGTTGCACTTTATGTGTAAAAACTATTATAACCAAAAATTAGACTTTTTGTTCAAATGTTTTCCCTATCTTTAACATTTTATTCATACTTAAATTTTAGGTATTAGGTATACATATAAGATATTAAAAGAGCCCTTTCTGTCATTTAAAACAATAATATATAATATGTATGTGTGCACTTAAAGAGAAACCATTAAAGTACGGTTGGACAAACATATACCACAAATTCTAGGTTTTGTGTTGGTTCAGAAGTTGGATAATTACCTCCATACTTAAGGGGTTAAAAAGAAGCTGTGATTCTGTTTCTCCTAAACCAGCAGCAGTTATGAAAGTTGCAAACAGCAGCAGCTTCTAATCACCAGTGATCAAACTTGACAAGTTTAGATGGTGAGAGACAAGTAATTGCTTTCCTGCTCTTCCTTGGCCAGAAGAGAGACAAAACTCTAACAATAACCAAGGCCTGGGTTATAATGTTTGTAATAATCAAATTTGTGGCAGCCACACAAAAAGTTATTTATGCAGGGCAAGGGCCTCTCAATCCAATGTGCAGAGATTACACCCCTCTTGTTACTCCATTAGAATGTCTGCATTGTTTGCACACTTACTGTGTCTTTCCTCTAGTATAAGCGCTGTACAAAATACATGGTCAGTAATTATTCCTCTTACATAGAGAGCTGACATATCTATCACCACCAGAATGCATACAGTAACAATTATACAAACACGTTCACATTATACGTTTTACCTCGGCTGGTTGGGGAAGCACAATAACAGTCATGGTCCCTGTGTGGATCCTCTGCATCCTGGATGAAAGGCCAACCTCAGGGATCCTCTGTACCCTGTGAGTTCCTCCTTCATATTTCAATAGCTTATACACTCCTTCTCCTGAAATCCGTGCGGCTGCATGATGCAACCCACCTGCAAACACAATTCATGGGCTCAGATAAGAATGGCTTCCAACGGGACCACAATCACATCATTAGAAACATGCCTTCTTTAAAAAGAGTGCCATACTTTAAAGGAATACTCAAAAAAAGCTCTAAAACAAGGGGTCTCTGGGTATTATTTTAAGAGGTCTGTGAACTTGGATGAAAAATAAAATTACATCTGATCTTGAATAACCACTACAAATATTTAGTATTTCAATGTACCTGCAACAACTGGAACATGATATGAAAATATCTGTGATTTCTATTGGTCACAAAATGACAAGTACTGCCAATACTACTGGGGGTCTGCTGCATTCTTTCATAACGGAAGGACATTATAAAGTTTTGTAAGAGATTAACCATAATTATCCCCCTCTGCCCCCTCCCCCCCAAAAAACAAACAAACTACAAAAAAATCGATTTGAAAATGTCCTCGGTTTGGGGAAGAAATTTAATTCTGAGTTTCTGTTTTCAAGTTATTTTACATTACGGTCATTTCATCCACAATAAAAGAAGATTTTGGAAAGGTAGGGACACGATACGCTACCATATTCAGAGGGAGTATAATTCAGAATTTCAAAGCACCAAGATTTAAAATCAGCATAATTCTGATACATCTCAAAAACTTCTTTGGTAAATTGTTGGCAAATGTCACCTGAAAAAGAATCAATGCAATGAGTAATGATTTTCCCCAAACATGGCAATCATATGCCTTTCCATATATTAAATGTAAATTATAACTATTTGAATCATGTACGTCATCCTCTATTAAAGTTGCCCTGTCATTTTTATCTTAACAACTATATTCTTGTTAATGCAACTTTTATTTGAAATAATTTCTTCCGTGTGCTGGATCTCAATATATGTGCACAACCATTTTGTTTTCCTCTCCCCATGATGTCAGAAGTTTGCCCTTCTGTGGGAAAATTTGATTGGCAATGGTAACTTTAACAGAACCTTGCTTTGAAGGAACACTAATGCATTAGAAAACAAACTTGTATCAGCGTTATTTAATGCATTAAAAATAATATCAGGAAGTATTACTTTACTGAGAGGGTAGTGGATGCATTGAATAGCCTTCCAGCTGAAGTGGTAGAGGTTAACACAGTGAGAGAGTTTACGCATGCATGGGACAGGCATAAGGCTATCCTAACTATAAGATAAGGCCAGGGACTAATGAAAGTATTTTAAAAAAAAAATTGGGCAGACTAGATGGGCCGAATGGTTCTTATCTGCTGTCACATTCTATGTTTCTATGTTTCATTAGGAATACAAACGTATCAGCGTTATCGTCTCCTGCGATGTCATGGAGGAGGCATGACTTCCTCTTCAATGGTTAATTGCATCAAATTTCCCCTTAGGAATGAATTGAATCAAAGCTTTCCTATGGCGGCTGCAGTCACGTGACAGAGGTTTACTCTGTTGCTGCAGCAGAAAGCGCCTCTAGAGTGTTCCTTTAAGCCCATTGTCAAGACTTGTAAACTTGACTACTATGCATGCATGCATGCAGTGCAAAAACATATTTTGGTGACATATCTGCTTGAATGGAATGCGAATAGACCAACAGACTAATAATAAAGACTAATAGACTAGCATTCAGAAAGAACCCCAACACATCCTGAGAGTTGGTCTATGGTGGCTCCTGCAGTTTTGTGGGATCCTGTAGAGACACTTGAGTACAACATTAACACAACTATGGGCAGCTACAGAATCTATAAATCTTAAACAAAAAAAAGATGGTAGTACCCACAATTGAGATTTTCAGGTATATTTATCTACCTTAAGCTTCTGCCAACTGCCCAGGCAACACAAGTAGGGACTTAATTCTTATTTGGTGGTCAGAAAACGTGACATTACAAGGATTTGGGCTGTTGCAATCACTGTGTGTATGAATGGGCACACATTTTTACCCCTGCTAACCTTCCTTAGCACTAGTGGTGAATGTTTAAACTTCCACACTGAATCAAACTGCAAATCTGTTTGTACCACCCCTCTGAGAGTTTCATGGATATTTTTTCATTATTTATAATACAGCACAGAAGAAAAAAATACTTATGCTAGGGCAATAAATAATACAACATTCTGACCTCCAGTAGTTCTGCCAGACGTCACTTCTAATACGGCATCACTCATATCATATTTTTCATTCGGAACCAAGATCTCCAAGAGCTGGAAGCAAGCAAACGAAGTAAATGTCCACACCAGCTGTTTAAAATACGCATACAATAGCTGGCACATATCCAGACTCAAATCTAACTACAAAATATTTAAACTCATGGTAAACATCATTTCACTCTTAAAGCACAACTGGATCCAAATTATTTGAAGGAATTTTGCAGAGAGCAGCTTTCTGCCAGGGTGTTGCTGTGAGGCCTTCATCCCTCAGTCTCTAAAGTAGAGTAAAAATATTTATTAAGAATACTTTATTACAGCCACTGCCAAGATGTGTCATACCAACCTTTCAACCCCTCAAGATCTTCGTCAAGCCTTATCACTTCATGTTTATACACACACAGGGGGAGATTTATCAAAGTGCCGCTGACACTTTTTTCATGTAATTGTATTTGTTGGTGCAGTTTATTAAATCCGTCAGATTTTCGTGTAGCTTTTTTGCACCCTAGCTGACATGTTTTAACATGCACAGCTTTGTCACTGACGCAATATATTTTACGACACTTTTTCTAACAGAATGTGTGTCTAACAGAACTGTTCCTGCCACTGTAAATTTGTCAGTCTTCTGAAATGGAAGTTTGTGTGAAAACTGGCAAAATTTATTGTAAAGATCAAAATAGTGACAGATATTAACAGTCACTTTTCAGAACACTTTGGTAAATTTCTCCCAATGTCCTTACCTTGTTTCACTGTATGACTTCTGATTGTTGGCAGGAGCTTGAGCTTTTCATAAGCATTTTCTTTTTATGAAAAGCTCTAAAGTGACATGCAGCTTTAAACATCACATTTTCTTTATCTTTATATCAATTAAATGAGCAACACATAATTTGTGAGAAAAATATGGAGACAATCTAACCTGTCTGAGGATTAATTCGCGTAGCAATGTACAAGTATAATTCGACTGCTAGAGAACAGGGTGGTATTTTTTTGTTTTCAAATGTCATGATGAAACAATATGTACCTGGGAGCTAGTGCTAAGCAGCCATATGTTCCCATGTTTATGAGGCCATATACTATGCACCAGTGCAGCACCAGACTGGCTTTGACTTTAAGGGACATTGTAGCACTGTAACATCTTAATCTCATTGAAGTGGTTATAGTGCCTGGAGTCTCCAGCGCTGTCTTTACTCTCCACATGAAACAGTTTAATGTTTTAAAACTGTGTCTCCATTTGCAAGACCATGGGATCGTCCATAGATAAAGCCACTTCCCTGCAGCCATCACAGATGACGTCTGGGGGATTGACACTTCTAGACAAAGGTAGCTCCACCCAGTGTCTAGAAGCGTCAGATGAAGGGAATATACAGGGACAATGTAGTCCCTACTTTGTCTCTGTATATCTCTTGACTGGGTTGGAATTTTAGTGAAATTCTAACACAGTCAATATGAGGATTTCATAAAGATTTTATCTTTTTGAAAAAGTAATTTTTAAGGGGCTGGTGACAGTGTCACTTTAATGCTAAACAAGAGTCCTCGGCAACTCGTCCCTTCTGTGCTGATAGGGCTACTGAAAGAGCATTAGCCGTGCAACAATGGGCGGCTGGGATTGGCTGAGAGTGTCAGCTGACTGCTTTCAGTTTATCACAGATATGAATCGGTATTGCTACAAGAAGTATGCTATGTCTTATCCATACCTCCACTGGGGATGGAACTATGGGAAGGCAGGGACAATCAGTTTTAAATTTGTCAAAAATGCTTTAAGACTGAATGGAGGTACAGTTCCAGGTCACTCCAGACACTATAACCAATTCAATGAGATTAAATGGTTATAGTGCCTACAGTGTCCCTTTAAACACTCCAAGCACCATAATCACCACAATGCACTGTAGAACCGTGTATTTTCTTTTTTTTTTGTTAATCTGTTTATTTTGAATTTTATCAAGCAAGTGGAGCAAGTTTTGGGCACGCAGGCCCATCTCAACATAATGACGTAAAATAGTAGTAACATAGAAACAGTGCTTATACGTATTCTAAACATATTTGTATACCATAGTAATCCTATTCCAGTATCAGTTTACATCCTGTGACAATAAGCAAGATCGTAATCGTTTCATACAAATGAGTGCTTTGTGTAGATATTATATGAGTCCGTGTGGACATGTATGTCTATTGATAATCATGGAGCTGCGAGTATAGTAAAATTTGTCAATGTTGGTAGGGAGAGATTGTATGTGGGTTTGTGTGGTGATTCCCTTAGAGTAACATGCATGTGTCGTGGCATGATACCAGTGTTGCAAGAGACTAGAGGTGGGGGGGGGGGGGGGGGGGTTTTTATATTTTGTGAAGGCCTAGGCATGGTGTAAGGTGTACTCTGTCTGAGTTCCGAGTTTCCATTATCTTTTTCTGCCCTTCTTTGTGGCTGGGCCAACTTGTCGGTACTCCCTTACTGAAGGGAGTCAAAGTGGCTGTGTGTCAGCGCCATTCTCCGTGTGTAATTTCACTCCGACTCTATAATTCAGTGTAATGTCTAGGCTGCTTCCCCATTTCGGTGTAGTGTCGCCAGGTATCAGTGTGCCTGGGTCTGCGAGTAAGGAATGCAGTTAAATGTTGTTTTTTACCCTATTTAGGTGGGGTGGGGTTAGTGAGGAGTATGAGATGTCCGGGAGGAGGATAAGGAGGTAATGTATGTGTGAGTGTGTGTAGGGGAGGGAATGTGGAATCCTCCTGCTGCCGTACACGCTCATAGACTAGACACCGGCTTACCTGTTCTGCTCCCGTCATGTGTCCCGTCGGTGTCGTACCCAACCTAGTTTGGGCATTGAAGCGCTCACCTATCGCTTTTCAAAGTTTGGTCTGTAATGTAACAGCCATTTTATATCTCTTTTAATCTGCGGAGGTGGTATGGCCTATGATCCTTGGTAGCAGTGTGTAGGCATGATGTTGTAGAACCGTGTATTTTCTTACCATCAGTCCTTCCGGTGTCTGCTTCCTACCTTTACTACTTCCATCAAAAACCTTAGTTTTAGATGGACTTAGTTCTCTGGCTGAGAGTAGTAAGCAGCTGCTCTCAACCAATGAGCTAGCCCTGCAGTGAACAGGAAAGCTAACAGAAGGTGTTGCTTAGGCGCTTCCGGCTCATTATAGGAAGTAGTGGAGGCAGGGAGAGTCACCTAGCAGATCCCAAGTAGGGATCTTTCTAAAATGGTTTGACTTCTTACACTGGAAAAACCAGGGCTTTCCAGGTACTACTACAGAGCTCTGTAGTTGTTATAGTGCTCTGTAGTGATTATAGTGCTTGAAGTGTTCCTTTTTAGGAGTAAAATCACTTTGTTTATGTGTTTATGCAGCCTTAGTCACACCTCCCTGCATGCAACTTACACAGCCTTCCTAAACACTTCCTGTAAAGTGAGAGCTAATGTTTACACTTCCTTTATTGCACGGTCCGCTTAATTTGTAATTTCTTATCTCCTATACTATTAATAGCTTGCTAGATGCTGCAGGAGCCTCTTGTGTGTGATTAAAGTTCAATTTACAGAGTAGGAGATAAAACTTATAAAGTAATTTAACATCTGATTGCAAATGAAACAATTTTTTCATGTAGGCTGTCAGTCACAGCCAGGGGAGGTGATGCTGGGGCTGCATGAACAAAAACAAACGTGATTTAAGTCCTACAAGGCAAAATTGAGCAGTGGGACTACAGAGGTATAATCTATACACCCAAAGTGCTACATTAAAGTTGTTTTGGTGAGTATAGTGTCCCTTAAATATGGTAAAGACAGATTCTACAGGCTGATCCAGCTAACATCCAATTGCCCACAGACATGCTAACATGAAAAGGCAATTAATTTGTACAAATAAAAAAAACAATTATCAGTAGAGCATGACACTGATGAAAATGTGTGAAGTATTATAACCCCTAATGGCTAATTGGGGGATTATAACACCTAATGAAACCACACCCCACAATATGCACGTACTTCTGTAACCTCAAACTAAAAAAATCATAACAAAATATCTGAACTAAAGTACAGAACAAAGCAGTTTACATGAGTCAAAAAGAGACCGTAGTGGGACAAAAAGAGAAACAGAGCTAAGTGTGTTAAACATGCAGAGGGAACTGTGGACAAAAGAGCACAAGTAAAGTGGATGAAGGTGGATGAATGAAAAGGCTAACATTGAACTGAGGCCTGGCATTGCCATTCTAATGAAGACCTACCTTTCTGCATAATATATCAATCTTTTGGTTCATTGTATATTTTTCTTCTATAGCCAGCTCTAGCAGCTCCTCCTTTTCTTTGCTGTCTATATCTTAAAGAAAACAAATACAGGAACAGTTAGGCAGTGATTTCAAGTACACACGACTAATGGATTTTCTACAACTAATGGAGTTGTAGCACACTTAAAGGGATCCTATAGTGCCAGGAAAACTAAGCTGTTTCCCTGGCACTATAGGGTTATTAGGTCCCCCATCCCTCGGGCCCCGCCTCCAGCAAGGCTGAAGGGGTTAAAACGCCTTCAGCCACTTACCTGAATCCAGCGCTGATGTCCCTTGGCGCTGGGACAAGCTCAGTCCACGCTCCTCCCCTGCCGATGTCAGCCAGAGGGGGAGACTTAATGCGCATGAGCGGTAAAGGCCACGTGCGCATTAGACCTGCAGATAACGGACCAAAAGTCCGTTAGGATTCCAGAAGCACCCCCCAGTGGCTGTCTATTAGACAGCCACAGAGGGCAGACTTAGAGCTACACTGTTTAACATTGCAGCACTAGGTGCAAAAGGGTCACAGCACCCAGACCACTTCAATTAGCAGAAGTGGTCTGGGTGCCTACAGTGTCCTTTTAAATCTGAATGTTAAAACACAGGCTAAAACAGACCATCTGAAAAAAAGTATCATACAGTATAGCTTATGTATTTTAGGCTCAATTTACTACAACTCAGGGTTTAGTGACTAACCCTATTGTTGTGAGTTCTAACTAGAGAACACTTGCCTTCATAAACTTACACACTAATTTTTTATAGACATGTTCATCTGACATCATCAGGTTTGTTTAAATATATTTCCTGGATTTATCTAGGCAGAACTACAGATGGGTAGCTCCTCCCACTCATTAATTGGACAGGAACACCTCCTAATAAAACAATAAAAGAAACTCCATCCGCAGTCTTAGTTCAATGACACAAACAAGAAAAAAAAAATTAAGGGTGCGCGTATAGTGCTGCCATGGCCTCTTCCCGGGAAAATAATATTTTGGTAAGTATGATACAAGTTTTATATATTTACACACTCTCATCCTTACCAGCACACATGGACTCCAACTCTCTGGCTTCTAGTGCCGCTGCCTGTATATCGTGAAGAAGAGCAGTGACTGGGGAGAGCTCAGAATGCCTCTTTCCCAGACTCCTTCTATCTTCCTCTCGAACAGAAGTGTGGTTCAACATTTCACTTAGACGTTCATGTTCTTTGCATAATGAATTTAAGTAATCTTGCAATTTTTCACTTTGCCATATAGCGTGGGAATCCTTACTGTAACATCTTCTTGTGAAGTGAGCATGTTGTGGAAAAATTGTACATCTACTCTGCAAATGTAACCCATAAGCAATTTGTTTCATATGTCTAAATTCTGCTCTTTGCAGAGCAACTATGGGAGTCCAAGAATGCAAATTACCAAAACAGCACTTCAGTAGCCCAATGCTACAAGAACGATTCATTTTGACAAGTCATTCCACTCCTAAAATAAATGTAAAAGAAAAAACACCTTATGATGTAGTTATTTTAAAACGTTTCAAAACTAGGGGGGAAAAAAAATCACTTAGAATGCGCAAAACCTCAACCCTTTTGCCATTCGGTTAGTTTCTGAACAAGTCAGAGGGAAGTCCACATCTTAAATGCCAACAAGTTCCCTCTGCAAGAGAGATATTGCAGCCCTGAAAATATCAGTTTGGCCATGATTGGACCATGTCTGTGAGATGTAGCTGTAGGGGTGTACGTATAGTTTACCATTTTGACTTGTTGAGACGCTATTAGTGTGCTAATACACTAAACAGAATTTATGAGAATAAGAAAAAAAAAACACTCAGGGGCTTGTCCTTCAATTAATCCTTGCTCATATGTCACACTGATTGAATATTACCATTTACTGCAATTAAAATAACTCCACAAGTTTTAAAAGAATATTTCCCTCATTGATTAACCAAAATGTAATAAGACTAATCTGTATCCAATTAGAACATTTTATGATCTTAAATTGAAAAGGGAATATAAAGCTTCTTCAAATACCAACCACCTATTTTAAGTCTCTGCTCTATTTGCAGCATATAAAAAAGGGATACAATTTGAATTGTATAGATTACAACATATTATTTTAATGCACCATTTAAAAAAAATTAAATAAAAAAAAATTGGTACAAATATTGTTCATAAATGCAAATAAAATGGGTCTATTTTCCATGAGGTTTGCTGTTAGTAGCTAGTGCTGCTTCAATATGGCATTCAATGGGTGATATGAGACCCCAGTTGCTACTCACCCCGGCTTCCTAACTAGACCCGTGGGTGACCTGGCTACCAAACTACAGCTCCCGGCATGCAATGCTGAGCACTATGTACGGCAGCCGAGAACTGCCAAAACACATCCAGGTGAGGAAAGACACGCTGAAACGCGCTCTACTTTACAAGACGCTGGTAACTCTCCCCTGCGGGTATACCCGTTCATAGACACTCTCACGGCTGTCTCGCTGTGAAGCAGCTGAAATTACGTCATCGCCACGCGCTGCTCCTTGTCATCAGGGCCCGCCGGCTGCGCATGCGCAGAGCTCCCTGCTGGCAAGTGCGGCCTCGGAGTGAGGAGGCTTGTTTTTGTGAGACTCCCCCCCCCCCCTTGCTCCCCCTGCGCGGGGCCGGCGGAGAGCCAGCGGAACGGCACCATGCCGTGTGCCAGCCTGCCCGCCAAGGAGAACAACCTGTTCAAAAGAATACTGGTAAGTGGGCCCAAGAGCTTGCACTCTAATGCCCTGCGCCAGCCAGGAATGCGCAGAGCGGAGTCTCCACGGCTGGGATTATCATTAGTGCCAAGTAATCCGTATACTGTCTAATACCTGCTATCCAGTGCCTCTTTATATAATAACAATGAGGGGCATGTGAGGATGGGTCACATAATACATGCACATTAACCCCTTAAGGGACCACTCTAGGCACCCAGACCACTTCAGCTTAATGAAATGGCCTGGGTGCCAGGTCCAGCTAGGGTTAACCCATTTTTATTATAAACATAGCGTGAGATCACGCCAGCGTCCATAGGAAAGCATTGATAATGCTTTCCTATGCGACCGGCTGAATGCGCACGCAGCTCTTGCTGCGCGTGCGCATTCAGCCGACGGGGAGAAAAAGAGGATCGGAGGAGGAGAGCTCCCCGCCCAGCGCTGGAAAAAGGTAAGTTTTTACCCCTTTCTCCCTTCCGGAGTCGGGCGGGAGGGGGACCCTGAGGGTGGGGGCACCCTCAGGGCACTATAGTGCCAGGAAAACGAGTATGTTTTCCTGGCACTATAGTGGTCCTTTAAGGACACGTGACATGTCATGATTCCCTTTTATTCCATTAGTTAAACCATCCTGGGTCATGGTGTTAAGGGTTGATCAATCACCATGGAAACCGGTGGAATATATCTTGCTTCTTAATTGCCCTAGCCCTTGGTTTTATACTTTATTTCCCTTGGTGTATCTGCCTTTTTAGGAAGCTATTGTCCTCACCCTACCCTAGAGCACAGTGTGCTGCACTGTGAGAGCCTATCAGATCTCCCCTACATAGAGTCACTGGATCTTTTTTTTTTTTTTACTACTGTATGGTAGTGTTAATATTTATTCAAAATAATGTTAAAGTTGGTATTGACCAATGGTTTCATGTTTTATGTTATTATTTTATGGCTGCTTCATGACGCTGACAATTCCCTCACAATGTATATGATATTATTAGTTATAATAGTATTTATGAAGCTTCAACATGTTCCACAGCACTGTGTAATAGAACTATGTAAAATCAGTAGAACAAGCTTGACTTGCATAGACACAAGGTTCTTATGGTACTGCTCAAACAAGTTTTTACAATCTGAAAAATAGTATAATGTTAAAGGGACACTATAGTCACCAGAACAACTACAGCTTACTGAATTTGTTCTGGTGAGTAGAATCATTCCCATTCAGGCTTTTTTTTTTTTTTGCGGTAAACAGTCTTTTCAGAGAAAATGCAATGTTTACATTACAGCCTAGGGATACCTCCACTGCTCACTCATCAGATGGTTGCTAGAGGTGCTTCCTGGGTCAGCGCTGGGCAGTGCTGCACAGTGTGCAGAACTGCCATTCAGTGTCTCTACCATCTGCATGGAAACACTGAACTTTCCTTATAGAGATGCATTGATTCAGTGCATCTCTATGAGGGGATGCTGATTGGCCACTGCTGTGTTTGACTTGTGTTGGCTCTGCCTCCTTGACAGTCTCAGCCAATCCTATGGAGAAGCATTGTGATTGGCTCAGACCTCCACTTCTGATGATGTCAGAGGCAGCCCGGGACAGAGCCAGCCACTGCAGACTTGAATACAAGTAAGATTTTACTATATTTAGGGAGGCAAGAGGGCACCAGGAATGTTAGATGGTCTTTTTAACACTATAGGGTCAGGAATACATGTTTGTGTTTCTGACTCTATAGTGTTCCTTATAAAAAAATTGACACTAGCAACAGATGGTAACGTCTAGCAGTATGATTTACAGTTGTATCAGCTTTAACTCATCCATGTTTTAATATCAATAGATCAGTGTAACTCTTATCACCCAGTCTATATGATGTAACCAATGTATGGTAGGTGCCTAAATAGAAAACTCCTAAACACTACTGGAGAGAGGTTTATGGGATAAAATAAAGTTCCACTGATAAGAATGAGTCTTCTGAGCTAAAATGCTTGACTGTGAGCAATGGAGACTCTCTAAAGAATAATATAGTTTTGCTTGTATATGGCCTCTAGAAAAGGGTAGTAAGAGAAGAGGACTATATTTTCACTTTCTGCTCACCATCAAGTCTTGGATGGAAATGATTGTAAGCGCTTTGTAGTGAATCATTGCTGTCCACAGTTGTACAAATAAAGAGAAATCTCACTTATTTATCTATTTGAGAAGCAAGTGAAAGGCCAAGCTGTTTTACTTTGCAGATGAGTCTTGATTTTTGTCAAACCTGAAAACTGTTTGACAGAATGAAATCAAGTGATATGACCCAAAATATTCTTTGCACAATAACCTTAACAAAGGTTATGATTAATTGAGTACCATCTCTATTCAACTAGTAAGTATTTGAGGAGCACTTTGAAAAAAAGTCAAGGTAGTTCATCGTGGTATTGGCCTCAGAGTACTGCTTTGCACATTTATGATTGTGATAGCATCTATTCACCTTGAAATTAGCCAGTTATGTTCTCCAAGTGCACCAGAGAGTATTTTTAAAACTCTGAATTAACCATTTATTTATTTTTATGTATATATAGCGCTATCAGATTCCATAGCACTGTACAATGGGTGGACTAACAGACATGTAATTGTAACCAGACAACTGGACATACAGGAACAGAGAGGTGGAGGGCCCTGCTCAATGAGCGTACATTCTAGATTTATGAGTTTAAAGCCCTGAATCTAGTAGTCTATCATATCAATATGCAGATTATCCAGCTTTTTTTAATTTTATTTTTATTTTTTAATTCTTTAAAATTGAAAGTTATTTAATTATATCTAGTTTCTGATAATTTGCAATTTGTTTTATTAAAAAAAAAAAAAAAAAAATTCTGGTAATTGCTGTTTTCAACATTCTGTAACCCATTTCTTTTTCTTTATTCAAAATCAAACTCAAAGTACTAGAACTATTTGCATATTAAGTAAGCTGTCAAAAAAGGGACTTAAGTAGTTATTTCATTTAAATTGTTTTTATGTCTTTATCAGAAAAGTTATGAACAAAAACAGTACAAAAATGGACTCAAGTTTTGTAAAATGATCCTCTCCAACCCCAAATTTGCAGAACATGGAGGTGAGTTGACTCTGCATGCAAATTACTCATGGAATGATTTATTGTTTTAGTTTATTTTATTACACTTAGGTCTAGCTTCCTCTTTTTCTTTTAACACTTTAAAGGAACACTTCAAGCACCATAACTGCTCACTTTAGTAATTTATGGTGCCAGGAGTGCATATTGTTGTAAGTTATCTAACTTTTTTTAAAAATTACATATAATTTTTTATATATAATATTTTTTATTTATTAAAGATATAGAATGTTATGACTTCTTACTTGGTGTCTGGCTGCCGCCGCTGTTGCCTGCCTCCACTACCACTACTTCTATGGAGAGCTGGAAGCTCCTAAGCACGAGCTTCTGTTGGCTATCCTGAGTAAAGCCATCATTTCTTAACTCGGATAAAAAGCTTCCAGTTTTTGTAGTGGAGATGAAATGTGGCACTCGGCAGGCCCGAGGTAAGGAATCAAACCATTCTAAAGCCGTTTGACTACTTGCAAAGAGAGGTGGTGGCGGGGGAGGTTAGGGCATCATTAGTACCTTAAACCCCACACTGCACTGTAGTGATTGTGGTTCTTGGAGCAGTCCTTTAAAGAATAATATGTGCTTTTCATTTTACATGCTTTTAACAGTAGGGCAACCTGGCTGTAGGTGCTCACGGAGCCCAATTTTGTGACTCCAGCCAGAAAAGGGTTGGACACAAACTTCATGGGACAAGAGGGCTCTTTGCCAAGAATTGTTGTAGCAAAACCTATACAACACGGCTCAACAAATCCGAGGCAGCCTGCTGAATGAGAGCTGAGCCGGACGGCGAGGGAGCTGAAGTCTTCCGTCTCTTCTTGCTCTGCTCCCTCATGCATCCTGCTGTTGTGCTGGGATATGGCATCACTCCGGTCCCCGCATCACTAAACTAAAACTAAAGAACAACCCCAGGGAAAGGATCCACTACAGCTCTCCCAAAAGTAGGGAGGCTGTGAGGACTTAAATTAATAATTTGTGAGTGTGTGTGTCTGCCAATGAGTGTTTTTGTTTATGTTACAGGCTCCCCTGGAAAAGGTGGGTGTTTTGTTTCTTTTGTTTGTTTGTTTGTTTTCTGGTTTCCCTCACTTTTTTATTTTTTTTTAACGCTATGCCGGTCTCTCCGTGGCTGGCTCCACATCCATGGCTGAGATGAGTTGGGAGGTTATTACACAATGCCGTGCTGCGCCAATCAGCATATTCTCGCAGAGATACATTAAATCAATGCATCTCAAGGGGAACATTCACTGCCTCCACCCAAACTTGCAGGAATAGCACCATTACATCAATCTATAGTGTCCTTTTTGAAAAAAATTAAGTATTTTGTCATTGAAATTAATGCTTTGTTAGATTAAAAAAATAAATCTGGCTCCTAACTTCTTAGAGCCCTGCTCTACAATGATTTGCAGTGGTTATTGTATTTAGAGTGCCCATTTAAAATTAAATAGTGCTATCCATATAGAATAAATATTGCAAACTGAGTGCAACTTAATAGTGCCTGTAGGAACCCAGATGCAGTAGAATATAGTATGATTTTTATTATTCTTGTGAATTTTGTAAAACAAATAACCTCTTCCACAGTGGTAAAACAAATGACATTAGGCTTACAAGAAAAAAAAATGCAAATGCTACAAATTTGTTTAGTAATTTTCATATTCTTGTATCATTCTCACACATGAGTTGTGTTTTATTGTTTTGGAGAGTGGTTTCCATGTTTGTTTTTAATTTTGTATCTTGTATATCTCCTTGTTGATGCTTACTGAAATCGATAAATGTTTGGGGATTTTTTGTGTTGGATGTGTTCCCTTTTTAGATTAGATTTATTATTGTTTTATTTATTTTTAATCTCCTTATATACAGAAACACTAGCTATGAAAGGACTGACCCTGAATTGTTTGGGAAAGA